AATTTTATTGAAAACCTTTTCTGTGTCTATTGAGATGATTATACATTTTTTGGTTTTATTTCTGTTTATGTGATGAATCACATTTACTGATTTGTGTTTGTTGAACCAACTTTGCATCCCATGGATAAAGCCTACATTTTTGTGGTGGATTAGCTTTTTGATATGCTGCTGGATTTGGCTTGCTAGTATTTTTCAGGATTTTTACATCTATATTCATCAAGGATATTGGCCTGGAGTTTTTGTTGTTCTTGTGTCTCTGCCAAGTTTTGGTACTGGAATGATGCTAGCCTCATAGAGTGAATTAGGGAGGAGTCCTTTCTCTTCAAATGTTCTTGGAATAGCTTCAGTAGTAATGGTACCAGCCCTTCTTTATCTGTCTGCTTGATTTCAGATATAAATCCACTTGATCCTGGACTTTTTCTGGTTGGCAGGCTTTTTATTACTGAATCCGTTTTGTAACTTGTTATTTATCTGTTCAGGGTTTCAATTTCTTTCTGGTTCAATTTTGAAGGGTTGTGTGTTTCCAGGAATTTACCCATTTCTTGCAGGTTTTTTAGTTTTTGTACATAGAGGTGTTTGTAATAGTCTCTGCAAATTTTTTTTTAAATTTCTGTGGGGTCAGTGGTAATGTCCTCTTTGTCACCTATGTGTTTATTTGGATCTTCTCTTTTTCTTTATTAGTCTAGCTAGCAGCCTGTCAATCTTATTCTCTCAGGGAACCAACATCTGGTTTCACTGATCTCTTGTTTGGTTTTTCACATCTCAGTTTCATTCAATTCAGCTCTGATTTGGGTTATTTCTTGTCTTTTGCTAGCTTTGGGGTCGGTTTGGCCTTGTTTCTTTAAGTCCTCTAGATATAATATGAGGCTGTTAATTTGAGACTTTCCTAACTTTTTAATATGGGTGTTTAGCACTGTAAGCTTTCCTCTTAACACTGTGTTCACTATGTCCCAAATTCTGCTACATTTTTGTTTTCTCATTTGTTTCAAAGAATTTCTTGATTTCTGCCTTGATTTCATAGTTACTCCAAAAGTCATTCAGGAGCAGGTTAATTTCCATGTAATTGTATAATTTCGGGGGATTTTCTTAATATTTATTTCCATTTATATTGCACTGTGACCTCAGAGTGTGGTTGATATGTTTTTGCTTTCATGTGTTCTTGTTTTTTTTTTTTTCTTTCTGAGAATTGTTTTATGGGAAATGTATACTCAATTTCAGAGTATGTGCCATGTTCAAATGAGGAGAATGTATATTCTGTTGTTGTGTGGAGTGTTCTGTAGTTGTCTACTAGGTCTGTTTGCACAAGTGTTGAGTTCAGGTCCTGAATACCTTTGTTAGTTTTCTGCCTCAAAGATCTATTTAATACTGTAAGTGGGGTGTTGAAATCTCTCACTTTTATTGTGTTGTTATCTAAGTCTCTTTGAAGGTCTCTAAGAACTTGTTTTATGAATCTGGTTGTTCCAGTGTTGGGTGCATACATACTTAAGACAGTTAACTCTTCTTGTTGATGTGAACCCTTAATGCCCTTGTCTCTTTATGTTTGTTGGTTTAAAGTCTGTTTTGTCTGAAATTAGGATAGCAATGCTTGTTATTTTTTAATTTCCTTCATACATTTTTCTCCACCTCTTTACTTTGAGCCTAGGGGTATCACTGCATATGAGGTGGGTCTCTTGAAGACAGCATATAGTTGAGTCCTGCTTCTTTATCCAACTTGCCACTCTGTGCCTCTTAAGTGGGGTGTTTAGCCCATTTTTGTTTAAGGTTCATATTGATATGTGCAGATTTTATCATGTCATCATGCTGGTAGCTGGTTGTTATGCAGACTTGTATGGTTGCTTTACAGTGTTAATGGACTATGTATTTAAGTGTGTTTATGTGGTGGCTCTTAATCTTTCATTTCCATATTTAGTACTCCTTTAAGGACTCCTTGTAAGGCAGGTCTGGTTGCAATAAATTTTCCTAACGTTTGTCTGAAAAGAATCTTCTTCAATTATAAAGCTTAGTTTGGCTGGATATGAAATTTTTGGTTGGAATTTCTTTTCTTTGAGAATGCTAAGTATAAGACCCCAATCTCTTCTGGCTTGCAGGGTTTCTGCTAAAAGGTCCATTGTTAGTATGATGAGAAGGGGCAGGTGACCTGCCCCTTCTCTCTAGTTGCCTTTAAATATTTTTGTATGTTGACATTGGAGAATCTGATGACTATGTATCTTGGAGATGGTTGTCTTGGATAGTACATTGCAGGGATTCTCTGCATTTTCTGAATTTGAATGTTGACCTCACCAGCGGTGAATTTTTTGTAGGTGATATGCTCAAATATGCTTTCCAAGTTACTTGCTTACTCTCTGTCTCTTTCAGGGATGCCAATGAAACATAGTTTAAGTCATAGGTCTTTTAATCATAGTCCCAGATTTCTCAAAGATTTTATTCATTCTTTTTAATCCTTTGATCCTATTTCTGAGTTTCAAATAACTCGTCTTCAAGCTCTGAGATCCTTTCCTGAACTTTATTCTGCTATTAATAAATCTGATATTATGAAATTCACGCAGTGAGTTTTTCAGCTGTAGCAGATTCGATTCTTTCTTAAAATGGTCTTTCAGCTCTCATATTGTTTTATTGGATTCCTTCCACTCCTTGGATTGGGTTTTGACTTTCTCTTGAATCCCAATGATTTTTGTTCCTATCTAGATTCTTTTTTTTTTTTTTTTTTTTTTTTTTTTTTTTTTTTATGAGAGGGAGTTTCGCTCTTGTTACCCAGGCTGGAGTGCAATGGCGCGATCTGGGCTCACCGCAACCTCCGCCTCCTGGGTTCAGGCAATTCTCCTGCCTCAGCCTCCTGAGTAGCTGGGATTACAGGCACGCGCTACCATGCCCAGCTAATTTTTTGTATTTTTGGTAGAGACGGGGTTTCACCATGTTGACCAGGATGGTCTCGATCTCTTGACCTCGTGATCCACCTGCCTCGGCCTCCCAAAGTGCTGGGATTACAGGCTTGAGCCACCGCGCCCGGCCCCTATCTAGATTCTTAATTCTATATCTGTCACTTCAGCCATTTCAGCCTGGCTAAGAACTAGGTTACTAATGTGGTAGTTTGGAGGTAGGGATACATTCTGGCTTTTTAAATTGCCGGAGTTCTTGTGCTGGTTCTTTCTCACCTGTGTATGCTAATGTTACTTTCATCTTTTGAAGCTGCTGTCCTTTTGATAGGGTTTTTTGCTTTTATTTTATTTATTTATTTTTTTGACAGAGTCTTGCTCTGTCAACCAGGCTGGAGTGCAGTGGCACAATCTCGGCTCACTGCAACCTTCGCCTCCTTGGTTCAAGTGATTCTCATTCTCCTGCCTCAGCCTCCTGAGTAGCTGGGATTATAGATGCCTGCCACCACACCTGGCTAATTTTTTTTTTAGTAGAGATGAGTTTCACCATGTTGTTCAAGCTGTTCTTGAACCCCTGACCTCATGATTCCCCGCCTTGACCTCCCAAAGCACTGGGATTACAGGCATGAGCCACCACTCCTGGTCTGCTTTTATCTTCTTTGATGCCCTTCAGAGTTTAACTGTGCTATAAGTTAGCAGCACAGTAGGGTGTGTGTGTGTCAGCAGAGGTGGGGTATGGGTGGACCAGGATGGTGAGGACTGCCCATGGGTGCCAGCAAAGTGGTGCAGGGAGGTTGCAGTGGGGGTAGCCTGTGGGTGGGTGGGTGCACACCAGTATGGTCTGCCTGTAAACGAGCTATGTTGGCAGGCACTGGCGAGCACCCTGGTTGGGCATCTGTGGCTGCACTGCAAGTGGGCATGGCCAGGCAGGGACTCCCAGAGGCCAGCAGATTAGGGGAGCAGGGGCACTCAGGCAGACTGGCCTTGTCCCAAGGGCAACACCATCCTGCTCTGTCCAGGTCTGACAGTTGACAAAGGCTAAAGTCACCCAGAGTTGTGATGAGCCCTAGGGGATGGGTGTCCTTGGCTGTGCTCTGCTGTAGCCATCCCGTGCTAAACTCTCTCGGTTCTGCATAGACTGGAGTCCTTTCCCTGCCACCCCTCCAAACAACTCTCCCTGTTAGCTTAAATGTCTGTGGAGGCTGTGGGGTTTCCTGCAGCTAGGATTCCAGAGGTCCATTGTGAGAGTGGGTCACTCGTCTATTTAAGTCACCCCTTCCCCAGAGCCACTGGGGACCAGGAACAAATCCTAGGGCTTATCTGCCTTGGGCAGTGTTTCTAGCTTCCTTCCCCTTAAGCCCATTGTATTTGTCCTGTCCACTCTCAACACCTTTTAAAGATCTGCTGAGTGTGCCAGTTTTCTTGATGGTCTGGTCTCTTGGTGAGATGCTTTTCTTGGCTGCATCTAGTCAGTCATCTTGGCTCCCTCCCCAATTCTTTTAGATTTGTACTGATCTTCAATGCTCTGGTTTTCCCCTTTGTTTCCACTTCCTGGTTCTGGAGTGTACTAGTATTTTCCCTACACATCTCCCAATACTTGTAGGTAACAGGGCGACAGAGCAAAGGCAAAGGAGCAGTAGAGAGTAACTGAGCAGTGGACATGTAGGCATAGAAGACAAAGGCCCAGTGAGATCCTCCAACATTTGCTTCTGATGAGGGCCTCAGGCTGCTTCCACTCATGGTGGAAGGAAAGCTGGTGTGTAGAGATCACATGGCAATAAAAAGCAAAAGATGGGGGAAGTGCCAGGCTCTTTTAAACAACCAGCTGTCATTGTTGTTAACTGGAAACAATTAACTTGTCCTTGGGAACTGAGCAAGAAGTCACCGCTCCTACCACTGTAAGGAATTCATCTATCCATCAGGGACCCACTCCCATGATCCAAACACCTCCCGTTAGGCCCCACCTCCAACATTGGGGATCCAATTTCAACATGAGATTTGGAAGGACAAACATTCAAATTATAGTACATTCCTAAGCAGAAGTATGTACCTATGTGTACCAAAATTCATGTACTAGAATATTTGGATAAGTACTCATTTCCAAATGGTAAATGAACCAAACAGCCGTCAGATAAATAGTATATGTTTTATTCACATAATGGAATATTATACAACCATGAGAATGAAAAACCATGTACAAATACATGCAACAAAAATCTCGCAGACATAATACTGGGGGAAAGAAACCAGATAGAAAGAATGCATAATGCTTAATTCCATTCATGTATCACCCCAAACCGGACAGAACTAATCTATGCTCTTAGAACTCAGGATAGTGGTTTCCCTTGGAGAGGTAGTTAACTGGAAGGGAATCTGATGGGGGACTTCTGGGGTGCTGATTGTATGCACGTGTTCCATTTGTGAAAAATCACTGATGTGTTTCTACAGTTATACTTTAATAAAAAGTTAACAAAATTATTTGCCTCTGTCTGGATACCCGACTGAAAACTGAAAAAAAAAGTCTTCTCTCGCAGCCTCTCACCTTGGCTACACTCTTAAACTCGCATTCTCAGCTCCCGCCACTTGCAAATGGTGAGGGCGGGAAGAGAACCCTTCTCCCTATCATGCAGACTAAACTAGAATTGCTACAGGTCAGGCTGCTAAAAGAAGTCTACCAAACTGAAATTCAGGTCTTCTCTTTGCTTCCTGCCAGTGCACTCCAGTGCTCTCCTGCTCTCTCTACCCCTCTCTCAACAAAGCCCCTTACTCAGAAATAAACACTCCTCCCAGGGAACATCTAAGTAACAAAAAGGATGGGGCTCTAATAGTTAACATTTCAAACTGCAGGTGGTGGATGGGTGAGGAGTCATCTGGGCTAACACCCTTGGAGATATATAACAAGCACTTGGAGGGCAGGCCTGACTTGGGGAGTGGGTGTGGAAATTCTAGCTCTCATTTGGGCAAGTCTGTATCCTCTATGACTCAGTTTTCTCATCATTAAAATGGGGATAATGGTGCTCACAGAGATGTTATAACAATCAAAATAAATTACCGCAGGTGAAGCATTTAGCAAAGTGACTTAGGTAGGAGGCTAATAAACATTAGCTGTCAGCTCAGCTTTGTCCAAAGTATGCTGTCCCAAGAAAGCACAACCCAGAAGTCTAGGGAGCAGGAGACTTTAGGGCTTGCTCAAAAGCCTCCACAGCCAAACTGTGCAGAGTACCCTTGGATGTCCTGCACTTCCTCAATATTGTAGTTAGGGGCAGGCACTAAGCAGTGGGGTGGCTTTAGGCCTACATGGGGGCAGAGGGCAAACTGGGAAGCACAAGAGGGAGAACTACTGACAGTGCCCTGGGCTCCAGTCCCGTATGTATGTGACTACATAAGTGTAGCAGGCTTTGCACTGGTTGCCTTTAAAGAATTAGGAATGTCACTCAGAAGGTGGGGAATTAAAACACTTAAGTGGGTAGTGTTTGACATAGCAGCAACTAGGGAGATTCTAATATCACACACTTATACTTCCTATTTGACCAACAGGCCATCAAGTACCACAGGCATTTTGGTACAACTTCCGTTATTGGGGCCTGGTCCCTGGATTTGGTCTCTATTTTGCAGACCTAGAAACCCCGTGTGGTGACTAGCTAGAGATAACCCAAATGCACAAGGCCTGAGGTAGACAACAGAAAGTCAGTTTTTCAACAAAAACGATGTCTGGTAGCTAGAATATTCACACTGGCATCTCTGCCCTGCAGTCAGACCTATACAAGTAGCCAAACCTTCACCACAGTGATACTTGAAGAGTACTTGAATACAAATCAAAATGACATAATGGCACTAAGCTAAAAGGCTGAAGAAATTCCCGAGAGTTAACAGAACTGGAAACCCGGCCATCTCATGGCTGAACATGGTTTGTCTGCCTTTCTATAATGCTGATCAATATACTCCCAACTCTGCACTTATCCTCTATTAACATGTGAAGTCAGACAGCAGTCATGCTCCCTCAATTTCCAAGTGTGGGTGGGGGAGCAGGCTGCAAAACTCACTGTACTGGCAATCTTCCTTTAAGTCATTACAAGAATGCATTAACATAAGCAAGAGTCTCCATCCAATGTTTTCTCTGGCTGAAGGTCAATTTCTTTGGAGAGTCACCCTGGACCCAGAGCGCCTGGCTGGGTATTGAAGGAACATGAGGGCCAAGCTTGATGGTGCAGTGACTCTGCAGAGGTGTTACTCTCACATGCCTGCAATACTTTCCACAGGTTAGAACACGGCTCCCTTAGATGTGGTTAAAAACTGCCAGCTCCTCTCCCTCAACACAAGCCAATTAGTGCTTTCTCAATTTCTCAAGAATATTCTAGGCCCAAATAATTCAACATCAGCATTCTTGGTTACATCACAATCCAGCCATGTTCCCAGATCAATCACTGCAATCTCCAATTCCGTCATTCCCACCAATAGCTGGTTAGACCTTCATTTCTAATTCTATTATCAGAGGATAAACTGCATGGCAGGTCTGGGAGTGCCCCATTTCACCAAGCCTGCTGCAGCAGATGCTCTTCCTGGCCCAACAGTGAAAACCCATACCCCCCGACCCCCCATAATTGTTACCGTAAGTCCTGCATAGAAAACCAAACACTTAGACTGCAGGGTGTGTCAAGGAAGAGTCCTACCAGCTCCTTTCCACCATGGTGATCAGAGATGGTAGCCAAGGGATACCTTTAGTCCTTTTCCTAATAATTAAGTCAATGTCCAGAAACTTAATTATACAAGGGGACACTGGGGTGGGGGTGGGGGTGGAGGGTGGTAGTGAAAGAACTGATAAGGCAACACACAGGCAAAGCTCAAGGAGGAAGGTGGACACCTGAACATAGTGCCTGCAGGGGTGGCTACAAGGAGCCTCTCCCATTCCAACAACAGTGGCCTCAGTACCCAGAGCACCTTCTCAGATCTGATCTCACTTTCTGCTCCTTTCTGTTCACTGAAGGCTTTAGGAACTCTACCTTTCTGTTCTCTCTGCTTTGTATTACTGCTGGCTACTCTATCCTTTGGAGGATTCTTCTTTCCCCAAATCACCCAGGGAGTGCAACAGGCTGAAAGAGGCTAAAAGTACATGCATTATTATTACCTGCTAATTAAGACCAGTAAATGTAAACAGAGGAAATAATGATGATGCTTTTCTTGTACCTACCAAACTATCAACATACTTCCTGGCACTACCCTTGAGTAAAAATGAACCTGAATATGTAACAGGAAGATTCCTTTTCCCCACCTCCCTGACATCATTTACAAACCTTTCCTAGCTAATGGCAGCCACCGGTCAGATGCAGTATTATGTATTTCCCAAATGACTTAAGGCAAAAAGACTTATTTTTGTAAACTGGTAACAGTTTGGAGATTGACAGACTGCAGAAGAAACTGAAATGAGGAAACCCATGTTTTCTCGCTAAAAAGTTTGCAACTCTAACACCATGAACAGTTAATAGATGTAAACTAATGAAGACACTGTTTTTAAAACAAGTACTGTGAATTACTACAGAAAGTAATGGTTTTGTAAACCATGGCTTAATAATTTAAAAAAGAATGCTGAATTGCTCTGCTTCATTCTTGAAGTTTTTCACTACATCTACATCTAAAAACTGGCAAGTTTTCCAAACAGTGGTGTAAAGTAAGGACAACAGTTCACATAGGGACCAATTTGGGAAAAGCAGTCAATTACACAAGTGACAATTTTAACAATGGTTCCTATGGTGCAAAGTGCTGACGCTGTAACAGAGGAACAGGTTTTGCTTACTTCTGGGCTGAAGTGGGTACACAGCATCAGTTGATGAGAATATTCCTATAGCAGTTCCATGTATAAATTTGGAAAAATGTGCAACATGTTTACATGAGAGGGATTTTCACTAAAATCTTGAGAAAAATAACTATGGCACCATTGTTCAAAGAAGAAAGGTAAATGTGTCTAATCACAATCTTGATAACTGGAGACATTAATTGCTATGGTAGCAAATTCTCAAAAGAAAGCCCCAAAATTCCAAAATTCTATGCTGCCACTTAAAATGTTCTAACCAGCTCCTGAATTGCAGTATGTTAATGATTATTTCAAAATGTAACAAATTGCTAAAATTTTTGCTAACTTTTATGAACATCTGAGATTGAGTTTTAAACTTGTAACTTTAGCAATACATATTGAACACTTACATTCAACTGTACAGAATGCAATCCATGATCTAACCAGCTCCTGAATTGCAGTATGTTAATAATTATTTCAAATGCAAAAAATTGCTAAAATTTTTGCTAACTTTTATGAACATCTGAAATTGAGTTTTAAACTTGTAACTTTAGCAATACATATTGAACACTTACATTAAACTGTACAGAATGCAATCCATTAAATCTTGAAAAATGCTATATAATAAAACAACAGAAATGAGCACACTATGAAAATGCTCTCTGACCAATTCTACAACTGCAATAAATTTAATACTGTAAACACACACGGGACAAATCTGAGCACTGTGGAAAGAGTTTAGTTGCTTTAACAAGTCATATTATAATTTTTATGAGCTAAGATTATAGAGGCAAATGGAATTCTTAGAATGTTACTTAAAAATAGATTTTTAACGACAGAGGTCCCAACTCATTCTTATATACACATGCAAAAGTTCATCTGTCACAGACAGCGAATGTTGAATTTCTACAGTTTCTGGAAGCATCCTGCACATTCAGAATTAAAATCAACAAACAGAGAAATGTCAAATATATTGAGATGGGTTGTTCAAATTTGTGTAGGACAGAACATAGCCCCTCTGGGACTACTACATACACGCTCATTGCTGCTTCTCAAAGGCAAACACCAAGTAAATACCTAAAGAGGAAATAAATAAAAGAGTTTAGTTTCTCATATGATTACAGTAAACAAAACAATCTCTGTCTTGTTCATAATTTGGTGAAAATTCTTAGGCTCTCAAGCAGCTTCTGAAGAGGAAAATCCCCATTAATTCTAAGAGTTCCTCTATTACTTGAATCATTTTTAGGCAGACATGGGATGTATATGTTTACTTGAAAAAAATTATCTACCTAAAATAATACTCTATGACATTGCAGCCCAAGGGAAAACCAGTTCAACAGTTCTAAAAAATCAGTTTAAGGTAAGAAAAATAAAACTATAACTAGATTAAAAGTATAATAAAATTATAATAAAGAAAAATAGAATTAAAAATATTAAAGATATTTTAGAAAACTAGAATGAAAGGTACATATATAAAATGACATGTTAACAATTCACCTAATTATCCAATTACTGTACTGTAGGGCCTTGCGACGGAAGTGAACTAAAAGTTCTTAAGATAATAAAAGTTCTTAAAATAAAAGTGCTACTCCAATGAACACACTGGAGTAAGAAAGCAAACAGCCTTCCTACTGATTTTCAGAACAAGTTTGAGTGGTCTGCAAAGATGATGAACCAGCTACTACATTCCCTTTAACCAAAGCCTAATTCAGAGGCCCTAACTCTCTTCAATTCTATGAAGGACAAGAGAGGTGAGGAAAGTGCACAAGAAAAGTCTGAAGCTAGAAGTTGGTTCATGAGGTTTAAGGAAGGCAACCACCTTCATAATGTAAAAGTGCAAGATGATGCAGCTAGTGCTGATGCAGAAGCTGCAGCAAGTTATGCAAAAGATCCTGCTAAGATCCTCAAGGAAGGTGGCTACACTAAAGATCTTCAATGCAGATGAGACAGTTTTTTCTATTAGAAGATGCCATCTAGAACTTTCAGTTAGAGAGAAGTCAGTACCTGGTTTCAAAGCTTCAAAAGACAGGGTGACTATCCTATTAGAGGCTAATGCTGCTGCTGACTTTAAGGTGAAGCCAATGCTCGTTTATCATTCCAAAAATCCTGAGGCCCTTAAGAATTATGCAAAATCTCTGCTCATATTCTATAAATGGAACAAAGCCTGGATGACAGTGTATCTGTTCACATCACGGTTTACTGAGTATTTTAAGCCTATTGTTGAGACCTACTGCTCAGAAAAATAAAGTTCTTTTCAAAATATTACTGCTCATTAGCAATGTGTCTGTTCACCCAGGAGGACAGATGAAGATGTGTTGGGATTCACTTGGGGTGGCTTGTGAAATATTAGGGAAAGTTATAGATTATGTTAGAACTTTAAGTCATAGAGTAAAAGATTAGGGACAATAAAAGTTTCCCCAGTTAAAGTCTGTTTACCCCACATCCCTTTGTCTCTACTCTAATTTGTTTACTCACGTAAACTTTGTGCTGGATGGCCCTCTCAGGGGGAGGGTGAAGGGGAATTACCAATAGTGTTTACTCTGGGCCCGAGAACCATGACATTTTATCATTTGCAAAACCACTCTTTTAATCATGTTAATTATCCACAAGCATGTTGACTTAGAATCTGTTATTAAAACTATACTAAATAAATATAAGCAAGGACAGGGAGTCCTATCGGTTAGCTGCAATCGCCCTCTGAGAGCAGTTGACAACCATGAGTCAGGGTCTGCAGGACAGACGTCTGCAGGTGTTGATCAATGGCTCAAAGATGTACAAGGAGATTAATGTTATTTTCATGCTTGCTAATACAACATCCATTCTGCAACCCATGGATCAAGGAGTGATTTTTAAGTCTTATTATTTAAGAAATAAATTTTGTAAGGCTATAGCTGCCATGATAGTGATTTCTCTGATGGATGTGAAGTAAATTAAAAACTTGATGGAAAGGATTCACCGTTCTAGATACCATTAAGAATGCTCATGCTGGCTGCTCTCCAATGCCAGCACCGCCTCTCGCTCACCAAGCTCCTGCTGAAGAAAGAGGGTAAGTAAGGAGGTCTCTATACCATGGCTCGTACAAAGCAGACTGCCCACAAATCGACCGGTAATAAAGCACCCAAGAAGCAACTGGCTATAAAAGCCACTCACAAGAGTGCAACCTCTACTGGAGGGGTGAAGAAACCTCATCGTTACAGGCCTGGTACTGTGGCAATCCATGAAATTCGATGTTATCAGAAGTCCACTGAACTTCTGATTTGCAAACTTCCCTTGCAGCATCTGGTATGAAAAATTGCTCAGGACTTTAAAACAGATCTGCACTTCCAGAGCGCAGCTATCAGTGCTTTACATGAGGCAAGTGAGGCCTATCTGGTTGGCGTTTTTGAAGACATCAACCTTTGTGCTATCCATGCCAAATGTGCAACAATTATGCCAAGACATCCAGCTAGCACACCGCATATGTGGAGAATGTGCTTAAGAATCCATTATGATGGGAAATATTTCATTCTCAGAAAAAAAAAAAATCTCTTCTTCCTGTTATTTGTAGTTCTGAACGTTAGATAATTTTTTTTCCATGGGGTCAAAAGGTACCTAAGTATATATGATTGTGAGTGGAAAAACAGGGGACAGAAATCAAGTATTGACAGTTTTTCCATTTTCATTTGTGTGCGAATTTTTAATATAAATACAGAGACATAAAGCATTAATGCAAGTTAAAATGTTTCAGTGAACAAGTTTCAGCGGTTCAACTTTATAATAATTATAAATAAACCTGTTAAATTTTTCTAGACAATGCCAGCATTTGGATTTTTTTAAAACAAGTAAATTTCCTATTGACAGGAAAAAAAAAAAAAAGAATGCTCATACTTCACAGGATGAGCTCAAAATATCAACATGAACAGGAGTTTAGAAGATCTGGATTACAACCCTCATGCATGACTTCAAAAGGGGTTCAACACATCAGTGGAGAAAGTAGCTGCAGATGGGATGGCAACAGCAGAAGAATTAGAATTCAAGTGGAACCTGTAGATGTGACTGAATTGCTGTAATCTCATGAGCAAACTTGGACAAATGAGGAGCTGTTTCTCATGGATGAGCTTGAGATGGAATCTACTTCTGGTAAAGACACTGGGAACATTGTTGAAATAATAACAAAGGATTTAGAATATTAATATTATATAAACTTAGTTGATAAAGCAGCAGTAGAGCTTCAGAGGAGTGACTCCAATTTAGAAGTAAGTTCTATAGTGGGTAAAACACTACCAAACAGCATTGCATGCTATAGAGAAATCTTTTGTGAAAGAATGGTCAATCAATGAGGCAAACTTCATTGTCTTAACTGCCATAGCCACACCAACCTTCAGCAGCCACCACCCATCGAAGAGTATTTCTATGATTGAGAAAAAACCCTTTATCAGCAAAGAAGATTCAGATTCGCTGAAGGTTCAGATGATCATTAGCATTTTTTACAAATGAAGTAGCTTTAAATAAAGGAATGTACACTGTTTTCAGCTACAACACTACTGCACACTGAAAAGACTACCGTATAGTGTAAACATAACTTTTATATGCACTGGGAGACCAATCTCAGTGACTTGCTTTATAATGGTGATGACTGCATGGCTGAGCATGCTTTGACTTTCTATGATAAACAGGCCCCTGCCTGTTTTCTGTCCTATTACTGTGCTGCGAGCCACATTTCATTTCAACTAAATGATACTGACTGGAAACTGGTAAATAAGGAGCAGAGAGTAGCTTGACCAAAGCAGTATTTTGGAAAGACTGCTATGGTACACCTGTACAAGTTGGGTTGGAAGAGCAAGAAGCTGGGGTCTTGCAAGGCTATCAGGCAGTTAGCTGTGTTCATCTACCTTCCATTCAAAAGTCATCTCAAGGAGTGAGGCCTCCTGCTCACTGGAGATACATCTCCAAGGTATGCCTGTGTATCTTCTAATAAAATGCCAATAGATTTTAAGGCAAGAAAATACCCGAAAACGTGACAAATCCTGAAAACATCACAAGGATGTTTGGGGCATGTTTCAGGATACTCAACAGTGAGTCAAGATCAAGTCCATCTAAGCGGGACTTCACACTTGTTGAGATGACTTTTGAAGGGAGGGTAGATGAACACAGTTAACTGCCTGATAGCCTCCTAAGACTCCAGCTTCTTGCTCTTTCAACCCAACTGGTACAGGAATACCACAGCAGTCTTTCCAACATGTTACTTTGGTCAGGCTATTCTCTGCTCCTTATTTGCCAGTTTCCAATTTCTTTTAGTTGAAATGAAGTGTGGTTAGCAGCACAGTGATAGAACAGAAAACAGGAAGGGTGTTCATCAACCCTGCTGCTCTTGCCAGAAGGTAAGGAGAAAAAACAGTCCCCAGCACTTGCAGCACATCAGCGTGCACAGCATGTCAGCACTCACAGCTGGCCAGTATAACTCATGCTGTCCCCTACTCTGTATGACCTTTGTGCAGTCCAGCCCTGCCAAATCCCACCCGCAACATGCCCATACCAATTGCAAACAACCCTTCAGTCCTGTCCTGTCTTCATTTAGGGTTATTTGAAACCATTAACATGCTAGAGTCTGATTTTCAATACATAATTAGTAACTTTCTTTCTAACTTGAACCTCCTGAAAAGTCCCACTTATTGTATAAAATGCCTTCTATGCAGGCATTTCTATTGGGATTTTAAAAAATCAAATCGTGAACCACTTCCACTTCCAAAAACAAATCAACGGCAATTCTCTCCTTTCTCATTTAAAGCTATCTTCTAGAGGAGAGGTGACTCTGGTGATAGCTTAATGATCAGACCAGTAGAAGTCTAAAGTGTAGCTTGGGCCTTTTAGACTCACAATGCCATGCAAGATGCGCTCTAACCCACAAAGTCCTCTAGCATAGAACAGTGCAATTCACCAAAGAGCCAAACAATCCTGGGGTGCTATACCCTAGCTGCAATTTGGCCATTGTTCTTTTTACATGTCCAGCCCATCTCTTCTAACTGTCTGGGGCCATCTAATTTTTCATTTGTACATTATGACTAAAGTCCACACTTAATAATATAAAAATACAGTTCTAAACCACAGACAGTACCACCATCAATGATGACCCTTGATCAAAATTTATACCCTACTTTAGGACTAGCAGGTATCTAAGACACGTAACCAGTCTCCACTGCAGGCAAAAAGTAAGAAAATCAATAGTTTAGGCACATGCTTACCAGTGTGTCAAGGATGATCATATGTGTAAAACACCCTCCAGTTCCATTTCTAGTAATGGTACCAACGTTCAGAGCCAAATAGCCTCAAAATACTGGTCTTGCTTGACTCCTTTCCTTTTCTTCTCTATCCAACTCAGGAAGTCTTACTAAATATTCCTTTTGCCAGGCTTCCATGAAACCATGGTTAAGATGCCAGATCACTTAGGTAAGCTAACCACAGGTTAGCTCTGTGACCTTAGCTAAGTTGTTAGTTTTCTCATCTGTGAAAGGAGATATAACACTCTACTCATAAAGTCGTTGTGAGGATTAAATGAGTTACAACATGTGAGTTATTATAAGGATGAAATGAGTTACACATGCCTCCACGTGTTCAACACTCAGTAATATTATTACTACCACCCAGATTTCATTAGTTTTCATTAAGCTCTCCTTCACCTTTGTTCCCCACTCCGGTAACATTAGCAATTAAAAGTTCACCTAGTAGTATGTTTATCTGTGCCTGTTCCATTAGAGTGTATGCTTCTAGAAGGTAGAATTTAACATCTTTATTTTACTTTACCTTTCACAGAACTTCATGTAACTCAGTAATGTTTATCAAATAGATTGTCCTTAATGACTACTTGTGCCTCAAGAGCAACCATATATGGGGATTCCTATGGTACCAGCGAGACTCTGTGACCTGACTTGCTCAACACCCACTGCTGAAGAACCACAGGCCTTCCAGATTTGCTGTGCTGCTGGTCTCTCTTCTGAACACAGAAATTTCACTTCAGAATATTTCTGCACCACACTTGTCCCCTATTGTGCACACCTCTAACACATCCCGCTCATGGATGTTTCATTGAATGTTCTAGTATTATGCCTTCACTCTCACATCAGAGTGGCCAGAATAAAAAAAAGACATGCCAACATTCTATAAGCCAAAAATTTCACTCAAAATCTGAAGTAAACACTTCAAATAGAGATGGCTCCTTAGTAACAAACAGACAAGGACAATGTTTACATATGCTCACTAAAGTTTATGCTGAGCAAGACCCTGTGTACAATATATCTTCTCTTGGCACTACACAGCTGTGCAAACAAGGAGGATCAGACATATGCAGAAATATAGGTATGTGTGTGTAAACACAAATACAACCTAAAATGTGCCAGAAAAACTCAAAGTTTTCAGATTTTTTTTTTTTTTGAGACAGAGTCTCACTGTGTCGCAGATTGGAGTGCAGCGGTATGATTACAGCTCACTGCAGCCTTGACTTCCCAGGCTCAAGCAATCATCCCACCTCAGCCTCCTGAGTATCTGGATTATAGGCACGTGCCACCACGCCTGGCTAATTGTTTCATATTTTTGGTAGAGATGAGCATTTGCCATGACACCCAGGCTAGTCTGAACTTCGGGGCTCAAGGAATCTGTCTCTCAGCATCCCAAAATACCAAGATTACAGGTGTGAGCCACTGCGCCCAGCCTTTTTTCAGGTTTTAATGACCACTTTGAAACAGGACCTTTGAAATTATTGCTTAGCCTATGCTGATGATATACTCACTTGTAGCTTCCCATTCTGATTTACTTAAGGTTCCCTAAAATTACAAAAGAGAAAAAGAAAATTTTAGAATAAATATGGAAATAAACATGCTTATTTCTAAATAATGGACAGAAACGGCCAAAAGACTCTAACTTCACTGTAAATACACATTCAATTCATGGTTAATCATATTGTGATCTGAGCATAAAAATCAGTGAGATTAACTTTGAAAGCCATCTTCTCACACTTTAATCCACCTGCCATATTCTCTAACCTGCGAATTCTCAACCAAAGGATGAATGTGTGTGAAGAGGGCACAGTGTGTGTGTGTAACTGGAAAATGCATCTATCTTATATTCTTAATACGGAAAATGAAAACATCAAAGAGCACTGGTGGAAAAAATACAATTTTTGTGTTTTTTTCAAAGGAATAACAAAATACATACCACACAAAGGAAATAAATTATATTTATGTAGCTATCAAAATATTAAAAATGTGTTGCTTTGCACACACCATTAACTATAATAACATGATCTACTGGCAGTTCTAGTGACATAATTTTCCAGATGTGATAAATGAAAACAATATTCTAAGACAGGCAACCCCAAACTTTTTACACAGGGGGCCAGTTCACTGTCCCTCAGACCATTGGAGGACCGTCACATACTGTGCTCCTCTCACTGACCACCAATGAAAGAGGTGCCCCTTCCTGAAGTGCGGTGGGGGGCCGGATAAATGGCCTCAGAGGGCCGCTTGGGGAACGCCTGTGCTAAGATATTAGCAAAAATGTCCTATGAAAATATCTGTAATTTCTACTGATGACAAAGTCATAGCAGCAGCTAGTACCACTGTTTTACTATTGTATTCATCATTTCTGAAATGTAAACTTCTACACAGAAGTCAAGAGATGTAATATTTTCCCATTTAAATTCCTGGATCCCTGAATTTTATGTATGAAACATACATAGATTCATCTGCCTACATTAGCAGGCAACTTGCACACCAAGCCTGTAATTTTTTCTCTATCCTCGCTGCCTCAGATATAGTACTCCATTCTCAGTCCACTGAAATAAGTGTTATTCCATCTTCTGTGGTTACAAGAAGTCAACATAACTTAGGGGAAATAATTGATTTGTAAATCAGTGAGCCCAAGTATTGTAAACAAGCGAAATAATTTCCTATGTCTTCACGTAATGCATGTTTTCTCATTCACTATAAAATACTTCCAAAAATGAAAACTTACCAAAGGTAACCTTACTTGACTGTTCTTCATGTACTTTGCTGCGTGTTCATAGTCATCCACCTTCTCAGAGACAAGTTTAGAATTCTCATTTGCAGGATACGGCTGTGGAAACCGATGAAAAGTCCTAGTTACAATAATACATTGAAATTTGCAATTCAGAAATAAACACACTAAATCACTGAAATACCATAATTAGGAGGATAATCCATAAGTACTATTTCAGGAATGTAAACTACACATACTTTTCAAATATGAAAAATAAATAAATAAAAGGAGAAATCCTCTCTCAAACCAGCAACTTTTTTGCGACAGAGTCTTGCTCTGTCTCCCAGGCTGTACTGCAGTGGCAGGATCTCTGCTCACTGCAACCCTGGCCTCCTGAGCTCAAGTCTCCTGGGTAGCTGTGACTATAGGCAAAAGTCACCATGCTGCCTAATTTAAAAAATTTTTTTTTGTAGAGACAAGGTCTCAGTATGTTGCCCAGGCTGGTCTTAAACTCCTGGGCTCAAAGAATCCTCACACTTCAGCCTCCCAAAGTGCTGAGATCATAGGTGTAAACCACCACATACAGTCTTATGGTCAACTTTTATCACAATCTTAGGATATTCATAGCTGAAATAAGCTACATAATTTAGTCACTACCAAGAACCGTTTAGCAGCAAACACTTGCACCTTCTCTACTGCCAGCCAAAGGCTTTGTATGTCACAAATACAGAGCTTAAAGATGTCATACAAAGAGCTGAATATTAAAATAATAGTGATTTAATAGCCATGAAAAGCATAAAGGGCAATTACAAATAATACAAATTAATAAGTCAAGTCAACATAGAACCCTGTTTAATAATCCAGCCTCCAAAATATAGACATTTCCCATATTTACATAAGACTCTGGAGAAGGGTCAGAAAAACATGCTGTTTTTAAGGGTATGCTGGCCAAATGTTTATTCAAATTACTTCAAGTGCTATTTTCAATCCATTTTAAGTGATATCTCTGTATAGTATTTGCATTACGCCTTTTAATACATGTAAATCAGGCCTGGCTCAGTGGCTCACGCCTGTAATCCCAGCACTTTGGGAGGCCGAGGCAGGCAGATTGCTTGAGCTGACGGGTTTGAGACTAACCTGCAAAACATGTCAACATCTTGTCTCTACAAAAAAAAATACAAAAAGTAGCCAGGCATGGTGGTGTGCACCTGTAGTCCCAGCTACTCAGAAAGCTGAAGTGAAAGGATCACTTGAGCCAGGGTCGGGAGAAGTTGGGGGGACTCAGTGGGGAGGGCATACAGTGAGCCAAGATGGTGCCAGTGCACTCCAGCTTGGGTGACAGAGAAAGACTCTGTTTCCCTCGCTACCCCCTCAAAAGACAAACCACATACATGTAAATCAAAATACAATAAATTACATAGAACCATCTACTCTACAAAGTTTATATTTTTTAATAATATAATTCATTTATAATTGTCTTACTGCAACAAACTAGCTAAAAAGGAAACACTTTAAACTTACAGCTCCCTAATATACTTTTAAGAAAATGATCTATGAATATCTGCTTTACAACATCTTTGTCTCTTTTCTTTATAAATATCCTGCTGCAAGTTCAAGCATTAGAAATTTACCTATTTATGTACTGTTTTAAAAGTGTTCAGCTATTTGGGACTGCCATATCATTAGCACAAGCCACCTTACTTTGTGTCACATCCCAACACAGAGATGTGATAAAGAATACAGACTATCAATCAGATTTTTTTAACTTTAATTCCACATGCTATCATTTTACCATATCACAAAGCTTCAGAACTTCATTTCTGAATGCCTGCCACACTATTTTGTTATAAACGTATTCTTCAACTTATCCTCCATGTGATTATCTGCTTATCACTGGATACCATTTCTCTCCTCTACTGATCATTTTGAAAGACCAACCAAAACATGATAATAAAGCGGCAAAACATCATTGTTTTTCAAAACTCATTTTTTGAGACAGAGTTTCAGTTTTGTAGCTCAGGCTGGAGCGCAGTGGCACAATTTCCAATCACTACAACCTCCACTTCCTGGGTTCAGGCAATTCTCCTGCCTCAGCCTCCCGAGTAGCTGGGATTACAGGCATGTACCACCACATTCAGCTAATTTTGTATTTTTAGTAGAGATAGGGTTTCACCATGTTGGCCAGCTGATCTTTAACTCTTAAAGGTGATCTGCTCGCCTCGGCCTCCCAAAGTGCTGAGGTTACAGGTGTGAGCCACCATGCCTGGCCCATAACATCTTAAAACATATATATCTTAGTGTCTTCTCTAAAAGGAGTTACTTTTCCAGAACTGTCCCTAGCATATGTTTGCTGGTGAAAAAAAGAACACAGGCCCATGGCCTACATATTTTCATTCTTTCTTCTGTTTCAACACTCCAGGAAAGCAGAAAAGTTTTATTGGTTCTAGTGCTGAACCCGGATGAAAGCTGAATGCTTCAGGAAAAGACTTTTTATGGCAAATATCAAGAAACAGATCCATTTAAACCTCTGACCTGGTCAAAAGCAGTGGCATCTGACTGCTCTTTCCACCTTTGGTCTGGTTTCAACGTCCCTCCAAAACATCCTCTATTATGCCACCCAACCAGTATCCTTCCTAACTCTTATTTGGTCATGTCCTTTCCTGCTCCAAGTCCTTTACTGGCCCACCAGAGTGACCTGGTCAAGAAGTAGGAAAACCAAATAAATTTTCAAACTGCATGTTATTACTGCTTCTGTCCCCAGACAGCCATGCTAACAGGTCATATCCTCAAGGGCAGTACTGGGAGAGAAGAAAGATTGCTGAAAAATTGTGAAAGCCATTAGCACTACTTCATTGAACATCCCATGCTCTCAGGTTTCTCTGCTTGTCCTCTTTCAGTCTCTTCCAGTCTTCTTTCTTCTCAAAAGGCCCTTTATATACTCACTGCACTTGGAATGCTTCTGTAATACTAAAATTTCCACCATGGACTGCATTATTCACTGGAATAACATGCCATAAAATTCTTGTTATCCCGTACCCTACTACCTAAGTACATTTTGATATAAATTACACAAGTGAATTCATTACCTGTATGCTAAGAGAAAGGCTAAATAATTGATCATTGTCATGCAAAACACCATCAAATAAAGGCAATATGCTAAAGGTAATGCATGTGTGTGTGGGGTTGTGGGGGAAGTTATCCACACATGGTTTTGCTAGCTTTCTCCTCTTCGTCAAGTCAAGCAAAACAAGCCTCCCTTCCTAAGATAGAGCCAATAAAAACATTCTTAGATCTAAAGTACAGAAAATATAACTAATAAAGAATATAACATTTTGCTGATTATATCTCTCAAAAGACAATTTAGAATTTACAGAAAGTCTTCCCACTTGACATGTGGGAGTGGCTGGGTGCAGGTACAACTTCAACAGGAGACTTTTGTTTGAATATCATCTACAAAAACTGAAGAAACTCTAAAAGTCAGTAGCTATATTGCCTTGAGCAAGTCATTTATCCTCTGAGCCTCAGGCTGCCCACTTAAATGTGAAAAGTGGCCAGGTGCAGTGGCTCATACCTGTAATCCCAGTACTTTGGGAGGCCAACGCGGGAGGATTGCTTGATGAGACCAGTAGTTTGAGACCAGCCTGGACAACATGGCGAAACCCCACCAGTACAAAAAGTTTAAAAATGAGCAAGGTGTGGTGACACACGCCTGTAGTCATAGGTACTCAGGAGGCTGAGGTGGGAGAATCACTGGAGTCCAGAGGTGAAGGCCTCAGAGAACTCTGATTGCATCACTGCACTCCAGCCTGGGCAACAGAGCAAGACCCTGTCATTAAAAAAAAAAAAAAAGAAAAAATAGGAAAAAAAAAAAGAAAAGTTACCATTCTGCCTACTTCATGGAATTAATTATAAGGTTAAGTGCTTAATGTACTTAAACTGAATGAACTCTCTAAAGAAGTTTAATATCCATTTGATGAATATGATTCTACTGATCAATAAAAAAAAAGGTTCACTGAATATTTTAGGTCTGTCCAACCAGATATTGTCTGAAAAGGAAAAACAATCAATGGCTGTGTGCTTAAAGTTTATATAGATACCTTCACTGCTGCATTAGGACAGGAGAGGTCTCAGCAACAATACAGTCTAAAAGACTGGAACCCTGCTAAAGAACTACCGTACAATGAAATTACGCATGGTACAAGCTTGTGTGGACACTGGCCAGGAAGGTTCTAAATTACTCTCGTAACCGACACTGTTGCAAACAACTGGTTCTCAACTGGGGGCAATTCTGCCCACCAGAGGACATTTGGCAATGTCTGGAGAGTTTTTTGGTTACCATAACTGAGGACAAGGGTGTTACTAGAAGGCATCTAGTGGGTAGAAGCCAAGAATGCTACTGCATCTCCTACAATGCACAGCATCTCACAGCAAGAAATTATCCAGAACAAAATGTCAACAGTTCTGAGGTTGAGAAATCCTATTTTAAAGCAGCACTATCTAGAAAACAAAATTTGGTAACAGCATTCTTTCATCAAGTATTTACTGAACACTCATCATGCAGTTTCTGCATCAAGCTCTGTCCTAGGTGCTGAAGACTGTAATACACATAATTACTTCATGTCCAGATGGCCTAGCAAGGATCTCAAGAACAGCTGAACAAGTTCACCATGACTGGAATTTTTACATCTTTTCTAAAAACTCACCTCCAAGGCCTGCATTCGTTTTAACAGCATTTTATTTTCATTGTTCTTAATCTTTTCTTCGTAAAATTCCCGAAATGTTTTTTTGTAGACTAGTTTCATACTGTATTTCTTTGCCATTCTGTCCAAAAAAGAATATTTAATAAAAAAGCTTCCAAAATGTTTGTAATTCCTCAACTGACTTTTGTACAACAGTGACATCTTCTGGACTTAACTAAAAAAGCTACCATTTCCTTCATAAATTCACAACAGAGTAATAAAAAATGAATCCAAAATAACATATCGTACCTAAAAGAAATATGCATTCTAAATCTCATTCAGATAGCTCTTTTAGTATAACACATAGGTCAGGAAGCAAATGAAAGAGTCTCTGGGGCGATGAGATAGGGAAGAAGAGCGGTAGGAAACTCTTTTCTACTGATTCCATTTTACTTTACTTGATCTCTCACAGCAGCACTGAAAATAGCTGCTGACTTCTTTCTTAAAGATTCACTTTTATCTCTTGACTTCTCTGGCAAGAAACGCTATTAATTTTTCCCCATCATGGACCGCTGCTTTGCAGTTGTTTTTTTTTTTTTTTTCTTTTTTTCTTTTTACTTGCAGGTTTCTTTTTTTTTTTAAACCCAACTTTTAAACTTTCAAGATTCTAAAGAGTTCGGCCCAGAGTCCTACTCTCTTCCACCTCTGAGCTATCTGTAGTTCAGCCCTCTCTAGTCACTCAGTACTAGTACAATCAGTACTGCTTAAAAATCTTCACCTGCATGCGTCACTGGTACTTTCTAACTTCCCACATCTAAGGCTGAACATCACTACTCTTTTTCTGCCAGTGCCTGCCATTTCAGTAAATCCATCTAATGATCCATGCCATCTCCCCGTCTCTTTTACCCACTGTGCTCAATACACATCACTAAGTCTTCTCTACTTTATCTAGAAAACATCAATTTCAAATAGGTCCACTTCTTACCTCCTGCATTTGGCACAATCCTGCTGCTTCAGTCACGATCACCACTCAGTGGTACCAGTCCAAAAACTCATTTTGCTTGTCCTCTGCTTCCATTCTTATCTCTCCCTCAATGAATTTTCCAGTCGCAGCCAGATTAAGCTTTCAGAAATATGGACCTGAGTCACGTCACTACCTTCCTTAACACCCTCCACTGGGCTCCAGTGCACTCAGGACACAGAACATGGTCTCTAAGATATTCATCTGTAAAGGAATGCTGCCTCATTTTGGGACATCCCCCATGATCAGTCATGATGGGCCTTCTTTTAGCATCCTGGACTAGCCTGGTGTTCCCACTGCAAGGCCCTCACACACACTGTCCTCCTGTCAGGAGTATTCTTCCCTCCAGTCTTCAGCTGCCCACCTACTATTCCATCCTTTAGAGCCTGACTCAAACATCACTTTACAAGTTTTCCTTAAATCTTCAATTATATTAGGTCTCTCTGTTAGATTCTTAGGTATTTTTTTTTTCCTCACTGCATTTGCCAAGTTTATAATTACATATCTGTAGACAACAAGCGGGTATCTGGAGATGACTTCAGGCAGCAGATTAAACAGGAGTGGAAGAGAGGGAGGAAACCCTGAAAGTTAGGTGGGAGGGCTTGCATACAGGGTGGCATTTGAGGAGATAGGGTAAGGGCAAACACTGGAGGGCTGCTGAGGTTTCTATGTAAGAGATATAAATAAGGCAGGATTCTGTTACTTCAATTAACCCTCCTTGGAAAGGCAACATGAGAAAAATAAGTCTTTTATTCCACGCAGTTCATTTTCTTTTGTAAATCTCTAAAATAAGCCTTTAGAAATGAAACCAAGTTTTACATCTAAAAAATAACATGACTCAAAGAATTGAGACCCAATTTGAATAGGTTTTGCCACATAAAAAACTTATTTCTGTTCAGTTTCTTAATGAAATGGCAAAAAGGCATCTCAAAAACGCCTACACATTTTCATATTCTATTTCCTCCAATACTGTTTCAATAAATAATCTTTTTAAAAAATCAGATATTAAAGTGATGACTCAGGTTAACCATCATTAGGCAATTTTAGTTAAAACAAAAATAAGACTGCTAGTTCTTGCTTAGCGCTTAAAACAGATCTTTTGTTTTATTCTTTACCTTTTGGATTATACTAAAATCACCAAGTCAGTTAACTAAAATCTCAAGCTAACATATTAAACATATTCAACAACATTCCACAATTAAGTTCTTTTTAAAATAAAGTTGAAGAGCAATAACATTTCCCCAGTTTATTAGTTTTAAAAATTAAAACCTAAAATAAAATTGGTATTTTTAAATTTTGTAAATGGTTTATACTTATAAAATTATTCACAGTACTTTCCTCGTGTTCAGTCACAATGCTTGCCACTTGGCTTTCTTATATTATTAAATAAGCTATTATAAAATTCCTGAAAATACTGTACCCCTAATTTTACAGACTGAGTTACAAATCAAATCATCACCAAGCAAAAATAAGCAGACAATAACCTTCTTTTACTCAGTTAATATTTAAAACAAAAGATTTTTGTTTTTAAAAGTAGAAAATCAAGTTCAATCAATCATGACATGGCCTACATTTAAGCTGACTTTTTATAGTCTTCCCATCAGGGAACCTCCAGAAACCAAGTTGTATTACAAGGCCTTAAAGTCTTACCTGATAAGGCCCAGTTACCCCCTGATTTTCCTGTGTCTACAGTTTGTCAGGACTCCTAGGAATTCAGGCACATGGGAGAATATGTTCCTGAATCAGGATTTTATCAACATTGCCTGTGAGACACAGGCAATTTCAAAGCTATAGTAAAATGCAAACAACTTTTAATACTCATCTCTGTCAATAGGAAGATCTTTGATTTATGAAGCCTCATTGTTTACCACCAAAGTTTCCAGCAGTCACTAAAAAAAAAACTTTTGCTATTTGCAGTGTCAGGCATTTTGTGCCACAAGCTGAAGCAACTGGACCCCTTTTTCACCCATAGGATTAAAAAATTCCAGGAATGAAGGAAAAATAATTAAGTTAGGCTATATAGGACCTATGGCACCAATCTCCTAGATTTGAGGCTAGTCTTTTTTAAAAAAACTAACAAAAAACAAAAAAAAAACAAGATTGTACTTTTTCTTAGGCCCCATTTAAAATAAAGGTAAAAGAAATACTGCTTTCCCCCCTTTTTCTTTCCCTTAAGAAAAAAAGAAAAGAGCGAATAGATTAATGACTTCTTACTCATTTAGTAATGGAAAATAGACCAAGAATTCAGGGACATCCACAACACCTTCCAAGTTGAAGTCATATTTGCAGCCAAATAAAGGATAATCTCCTTTCTTCTGAAATTTCACAGTGTATATTTCATTTCCAAATGATTCTGTTTCTGAAGCTTCAAGGCGTCTTCTATCAAGGTTATCCCCCAAACAAAATAAAAAGATTAAAATTGTGATTAGACTTATTTTGATCAGACTATGCATGTGAAAAACTACATGATGCACACTTGATTAGCTTTTTAGTTAGATCTGGGCTTTTTTTTTTTTTTTTTTTTTAAGTGACAGGATCTTACTCTGTCACTCAGGCTGGAGCGTAATTGGTGTGATCATAACTCACTACAGCCCCTAACTCCTGGGCTCAGCCTCCCGAGTAAGGACTACAGGGGCATGCCACCATGCCTGGCTAATTAGTAACTTTTTTTGTAGAGACAAGGTCTCACTATGTTGTCCAGGCTGGTCTCAAACTCCTGGCCTCAAGTAATCCTCCTGCCTTGGCCTCCAAAATGTTGTGATTACAGGTGTGAGGCACCGTACTCTCTTGATCGGAGCTACTTTTAAGAAGCAATATACTAAAAGATCACTAACAGTCACACCAATACAATTAAGCTGGAAGTAGGTATCATTCTATCCCATTTCAGCTGTTAAGTATGTGTCTGACCTGCAGTTTGTCTATCACTATAACTTAAGTCTCTAGCTAACACATAAAGATGAACTTTTAAAAGTTCATCTGTAAATTTGCCTTTTGAACTTAAATTCTGAATGTCTACCCAAATATCTTATGAAAGTGTTCAACACTTATAAGATTAAAATAGCATATTTTTATAGAATCTCTCTCTGATAAACATTTGCTACTTAATACTGAATATTTCATAAACCACAATATATTTAAAAACACTTACATCAATTCAAAGCTATTGGGAGTAGTACCAATAAAATAGCCCCCAGGGCTAAGTCTCTCACACGCATTTCTCAGCATCATGTCAGCCTGCTCATAGGACTCAAATGAGTAATGACAGACAAACTGACAACTGCAGATGTCAAAACACATTTGTGGGTCACGAAATTTGTCAATCAGAAGCTCCTGAAACCAATTAAAATGAGTTAAGATTTTGAGGTAACTACAACACAGATTAAACACTTTTTAGTAAATTAATTTCTAGAATGTAAGGTTTTTCCTTTTCCTCACAATCTTCAACCTATCCTTTCCCTTGTACAATAAAGGACACATGAAAATCATGCAAGTATTCTAGTTTAATAGAATAATTTGATTCCCATTTTTCCAGTATTTAAAAACTGAGGAATTCTGAAATCATGTTTAAAAAATATATCAAATTATGACATTTCAAGTTGATCCTTTCATCACTTGATAGTTAAAATAAAATGACATTCAACAATAACTTGGATTAAAAAACAACACCTGACCTTTGGCATTTTTTAAAAAATGCAAAAATGTTTTAAAGATATTACAACTTTCTGGCATTTATCTTTTTCACTTTCATTTATCTTTTTCACTTTCAAATTTTAAACAAAATGTGTATGATTAAAGGTATCTTTAACAGTTCAATGAACCAATAAGTCAATGAAGAACAAAAAGTTCATGGTGAGACTTTCACCCCTGAAACGCCTCTGCAGTTCTTTATAAGAAATTCAGAAACAGGTGGAAGGTAGGAAAAAACAAACAGGCTCCAATATGCTGAGGAACTAATAAATTACAAGGTGAACAAAACAAAGTATAAGTTCAGTTATATTTCAAAATACTGGAAAATAAATACGTCCAAACAGAAAAGCAACAACTAATTTCAATTAGTTGAATACGTCCAAACAGAAAAGCAACAACTAATTTCAATTCAAATTATTACAAGCAAAAAATTATAAGTGTTCAGTGAGTCATTTAAGGGAAATCTTCATAACAGAATTTCCAGTCTAAAGTGAAAATGCATGTCCCAAGGTTTTTAAAGTTTCAAAACACATTTTAAAAAATGGATGGCCAGGAACCATGACTCATTCCTGTAATCCCAGCACTATGGGAAGCAGGCAGATCACTTGAAATCAGGAGTTTGAGGACGGCCTGGGCAACATGGCAAAACCCTGTCTCTACAAAAAAAAAAAAACACACAAAAATTAGCTGGGAGTGGTGACATGTGCCTGTAGTCCCAGCTACTCAGGAGGCTGGGAGGCAGAATAATTGCTTGAGCCTGGGAGGCAAAGGTTGCAGTGAGGTGAGATCACGCCACTGCACTCCAGCCTGGGTAACAGAGAGAGACCCTGTCTCAAAAAAAAACAGAATAAAAATTTTTGTTAAATAGTAAAAAATGAGTTGATTTTTAAAACAAATTATTTATCCAAACTAAAAATGTAAAAAATAAATTGACCAGAGAAACTGTACCTTTGAGCAGTCAGCAGTTATAAATTCTGCACTGAAAATGTATTCACTATCACGACGATTTTTCATGTCCTCATACCGCTGCTGACACTGTTTGATAGAAACATCAGCAATATCTGAAAGGATGAAAGAGTATTAGTAAGTATCAAGACAGAATGCCAGAAATCTAGACCTTGATCTCAACTGATAAACTCTAGCATGAAAGTCAGCCTTAGTATCAGTAAAAAGGTTTCATTTCCTTTAAAATAAAGGGGCTTTGTTCCAAGGCACATGCCCTATCAGTTTTCAAAAGGAACTAAAAGCTCCTCAATAGGTACTACTGCTAGAAAAGTTATATCACAATTTTTAAACACTTATTCAAAGTAAAAAGCAGAAAGTTATATTCCAATCTGAATTACAAAACCTAGCATTACTAATAAGCCCAGTTTTGGAAATACGAAGTGTATATTTTTATTAAAAAAATGTTATTTACCCTTTTCTCCCCTCCCTCCCCCAACGCCCCCACTGTTTTTGAGACAGAGTCTCGCTTATCATCCAGGCTGGAGTACAGTGGTGTGATCTTGGCTCACTGCAACCTTCGCCTCTGTGGTTCAAGTGATTCTCATACCTTAGCCTCTCGAGTAGCTGGGATCACAGGTGTGTGCCACCATGCCCAGCTAATTTTTTTGTATTTTTGGTAAAGGACAGGGTTTCACCATGTTGGCTAGGCTGGTCTCAAACTCCTGGACTCAAGCGATCCATGCTCCTTGGCCTCCCAAAGTGCTGGGATTATAGGCGTGAGCCACTGTGCTCAGTCTGCCCTTTTCCCTGTTTTAAGGTTCACACTGATGATGCAAAGGCAATGTTAGGTAAAACACTGGGATCTTATCACAAATACAGAGCAGCAGCACTAAATAGTACTGGCAGTACTTCATGTATTCATCACCACTATGCACTAGGCAGGGGAGAAAAGCCAGTTTTATTTAAGAATGCCCTTGATAAAGCAGTGAAAATTAATTTTATTAAACCTGGGCTCTTAAATACACACTTTAAAAAATGATGTGTGATGAAATTGGAAGTAACAAAACATTTCTGCAACCTAACAAAGTTTGATGGTCATCTTCAAGAATAGTACTGATATGCCTGTTCTGAGTTTTGAGCTGTACTGGCCACATTTTTTCTGAGAAAATAATTTTGATTGAACGACTGACAAACTATGGTTACGCAGACTTGATTATCTGGCACACATTTTCTTGAGAATGAACAAAGTGAGCCTGTCACTTAAAGCAAAGTTCCCCAACCCTCAAGCCACAAATGACTACCAATCCATGGCCTGTGAGGAACCAGGCTGCACAGCAAGTGAGTGGCAGGCAAGCTAGGTAGCACACTCTTTATGAGAATCTAACACCTGATAATCCGAAGTGGAATTCCATCTCCTCCTTCTGCGGAAAAACTGTCTTCCATGAAACCAGCCCCTGGTGCCAAAAAGGTTGGGGACTGCTGATTTAAAGGGAAATAAAGCACAGTGTATTTGTTGCCAAAAATAAAACTGACTTTCAAGAACTACAATCCTGAAACACTTGTACTGATCACTGTATGATGAACTTCTTCCCATTAGTTTTCTGATTGGCAGTGATTTTTTGATTCTCAACAATTACAAGATCTGCATAACCTTAGTAAACAATACTTTCCAAATACTATAAAATCATGCAGGAAGTACAAGACAGATCAATGGATTTTAATGTTATACAATACAAAAAGTTCATCAGTAAGGTTTCAGATTCCATATAGTAACTACTATTTAAGAAACTACCACTGATTGAGTTTTGATATAGTAACAAATAGGAATATCTACAATTATCAAAAAATGCTATTTAAATTCTCCTTTATTTTGATTAACCAAAATAAAATCACAACATATTGGATGAAGAAACAGGTGTGAGAATCCAGTTGTCTCCTGAAATTCCAGACTCTAAAGGGATTTGCAAAAATGTAAAAGCCAGCATTCTTAATAAATTTGAATGAACTAAAAAATATTTTCAAAATTCTCAGCTTTAATTTCTAATATAGTAAATATCAGGAGCTACTTACCATAATTACATACAAAAAAGCTTTCTGGGATCCTCAGTAATTTTTAAGTGTACAGGGCTTATAAACCAAAAAATTTGAGAGCTGCTAATTTAGGCAGCACTTCAGTAGTAGGGCTATATATCTCTTTTAACTCACCACATCAGAAAGACGTTGATGTTTGCTTGTCCCACTTCAGTGTTAAGACTGATCACTGGGCTAAGGTAATTGACTGATTCATTCATTACATTCCTATCAACTTTTGCCCTAATGGCTTCAGCAGTAGAAATAAATTATTGCCTAGATCTGTCATTTCATTGAGATTGAAAAAAATGATTTTCTAATTCTATCATTCCTCCTCTATTTATTTGATTTAAAAAAAAAAAAAAAAGGAATTGCCTTTTCCAACTATCTGATTACAAATGTTTGATTCCCTCCTCTTAATTTATAAGTTTCAGAATAGTAAGTTTCTTAGCAACCTCCAAGGGTAAACAATGTTTTTTCTTGATTTGATGTGTCCAACTGCTATTTTTTTTTTCATGTTCAAATTGTTCTATTTTAGCCAATGGAAACCTTTTCTGCCCTTTAGACATGACTCCAATCACCTTTGATAGCTTCATTCCTTTTGGGAAGGAAAAGTTATCCCAAGCTTATTAATCTCATCATAAAACGATGAGGAAACCTGCAACTAAATTTTTTTTTTTTTTTTTTTTTTTTGAGATGGAGTCTTGCTCTGTCACCCAGGCTGGAGTGCAATGACTCCATTTTGGCTTACTACAACCTCCACCTCCCGGGTTCAAGCAATTCTCATGCCTTAGCTTCCTGAGTAGCTGGGATTACAGGTATGTAACACTATGCCCAGCTATTTTTTGTATTTTTAGTAGAGACAGGGTTTCACAATGTTGGCCAGGCCGGTCTCAAACTCCTGACTTCAAGTGACCCATCTACCTCATCCTTCTAAAGTATTGGATGACAGGCGTAAGCCACGGCGTTTGGTCCTAATTTTTTTGAAAACCCCATCTCATGCATAGTCCCAGATACCTTGCAATTTGATACGATTCTCATTATTCTCCATCTGCCTGACTACAAATTATACTATCCCATACTATTATTTATCTTACCAGTACAAACTAGCTTGTTAATTCTTCCTTTTTTCCATTTGAGCAAATCTCCACCTTTACCACATCCCAGGTCCAAAACAGTGATATCATGTTTTTTCTTCTGTCGTACCTTTTCCAAAAATTCTCCTAAAAGCGAGAAATCAGTCACAATAAACTACCTCTTCTTCAATTTTACTAAAGTATAAACTGTTACCTCTAATAACCTACTATCTTTTGCCCAATAGTAACATAAATTATCACACACCCATTTATGTAGTTAATCTGTAACTTTTGATAAGTATCTAAAAATATGACTAAGAGCTGATTAATCTGATCTATCATTAAAAAGTATGTATCTGATGTTTTGAAAAATTAAGGCTGGATTTTGAATGTTACTTTCAAAAATGAATTTTAAATAGCAGATATTTAAAATTTGAATTAATGCAAGACAACACAATACTTGTTCAAAATGAGAGAAAAAGCTAAATAACAATGAGAAAAACTTCATAATATTTTGGTAGCTGTCTCTTTTCCATAGCCAGGTGTTTACCTTAGTATACAAATAAGTAAATAAAAGTTGTCATGGAATGATAAAAGAGCTTGATTATTATCAAAGATGTCAGGCCTACTACCAACAGAAATATAAAAACCAGTTAAAAAAAAAAAAGCACTATGTCTTTTAGTTTTAGCAATATCAGAATTTGGTAGACCCCAGTCTACTAAATGACATTAACAGCCAACAAATAAAAGCAGTAGGCCCCCAAACATCAATAGATAAATTGTTCAAACAGCAATTACAGGCATATTAATATTCTCAGGCAAGTTAAGTATTCAACTATTCCAAAATTTGATATAATATTGAATCCTAGATCCATTTTTCTTGTCTTTATCACTGAGTTTAACACTTTCTAGCTCAGGTGTGTCCTATTTTGACGGCTAAAATAACCTGTACAAGTACTTTCACTGCCTGCAGAACCTTAATGTCAACAGAAGCACAAGTGTTCCACAATATTTAACTATCTGCCATGAATCTTAATAGCATAAAAATACCGAAAGAGTAAAAAACAGCAATTATAAAATCTGTTTCTATACGGTAAGACTAATGAGACAGGAAATCAAGAAACTCTTTCAAAAAAGCCTTGATCACATTGAAGAACTGTAGACAACTGTCTACTTACCAAGCTACAGGCACCAAGAAGAAAGAGAAAATGAATGACAAAGAATGAGTCTTGAGAAAGGAAAAATCCAGAAAGAACACATGGCACAGATCACACTGACTGCATTAGGGCATTAAAGACAGGTGCAGACAGCAAAGCATACATCAAGAGAGCTGCTAGAATAGCTGAAGAAGGAATACCCTGTATATTCTGAGAGAAAATTTTGCCAAGTCTGACTTCAGTCCTTTAAAAAAAATACCTCTTTTCTGATTATAAAAATAATACACGTAACAATGTGGAAAATATGAACTCAAAAAAGTTATTCAATAAAAAACATGAATAATAATTCATAAACAAATCCAGTAAGTTATCTGCATCACTGAGGATAATGAAAGAAGAGAATGGCTAAAAAGAAATTAGGATGGGGGTCAAGCGAGAACCTTGTGAGTAAAGGCTGAAAATGCCATTACATTAATCCTAAAAAAAAAAAAAAAAAATTGAACACTCATTTAGCCTAAGCTTACACACAGCGAAGTCAAATAAATCATATTTTAACATATGAATGTTAAAAACAAGTGAGTGTGCTCAAAATAAGCCTAGTTAGTTCCTATTTCCAATACTTCTCAGAATGGGTAATTTATCTTTGAAAATTAGTAAATTATCAAAACTAGGAGGAAAAACCACTTGATTCTTCCTAGCATAATTAAGAAAGCATCCTCACTTCTTCTCTGACTGGCTTGAAAAAAATATCTTTATTATGAAAAATTTTAAAACACACCACTTTTTAAAGTTCATATACAGAGCAATAATTATATTCCTTTTTTTCACCCCATCTTATGGTACTGAAAAGAACTGTATTCTGAATCATATTTTTTCCTGCTCACTTTCATTTTAATTTCAAAGGTGAGTTTCCATAGATAAAATGTTGGCTCAATAAAGTTGAATGTCTATCTATCCTCAAGGTAATACACATGATCTTTATCAACTAACTGAAGGCCTAGAGGTAAAAAAATCAAGATACTATCTACTTCTTGACTTAATGAAACCTGAATGGTTAACCAGCAATATGCAGCTGCTCCAAAACTATCAAGGTGAAATAAAATCATTACTTAACAGTACTAGGTAATCTTAATTAAGGTGCCTAAAAAAAAGCATGTTGCCTTCTGAAAGCCTGATTAACATAATCAATTAAACACTCAGTAAAATCTTACACAGTCAACCAAAAATAAATATTAAAAGAATTTATCTTCAAGACCTAGTCTTGGCTCTAGCTTGACAGAGTGAGTCTATCAAAGTTTGATAATTAAATGAACAGTAATTAAAGACTCAGTAGCTTGGTATTGGTTAAACCAGTGGGGAGAAAAAAAGCAAACATAAGCTAAAATGAAAAACTGCAAGCTAAACAGCAAAAAACAATCATACCAATGAGAACACTTTTCATCCAATTATTAAAGTTTCTTAGGTAAAAAATACGACTTTGACTACGCTTTTCCAAACCAACTTCCTGAAGTTCATTGTAATGGGCAGCCACGGCTGAGCTGTGTCCTTCTTCTAGATTCTGAAAATAAAAGAAAATAAAAAATTAAGGATCAGAACATGGGAAAAATAAGCCTCAGAACATCTGACCTGTGAATGGATAAACTACTACTAGAATTAGTAAACTTCACTAAGTAATGGCAATTAACCACAGAAGTCTCACTCGTTAGCATTAGACGTAAGATTTGTTTTCTGTGTCCCTATATATCAGTCCATTTTAATGCTGCTGATAAAGACATACCCGAGACTGGGTAATTTATAAAGAAAAAGAGGTTTCATGGACCCACAGTTCCATGTGGCTGGGGAGGTCTCACAATCATGGTGGAAGGTGAAAGGCAGGTCTTACATGGTGGCAGGTAAGAGAGAATGAGAGCCAAGTGAAAAGGGAAAACCCTTATAAAACCATCAAATCTCATGAGACTTATTCACTAACTGGAGAACAGTATGGGGGAAGAGCACACTTGATTCAATTATCTCACACCAGGTCCCTCCCACACATGTGGGAATTATGAGAGCTAAAATTCAAGATGAGATCTGGGTGGAGACACACCCAAACCATATCCCCCAATTTTGAAAAACATCTCTAGGTTTAAAATTTTCATTTTGATCTTTCATCTGTATAATTTTGGTGTCAATGTTTTAATAAACCCAGTACTCTTTCAGAGTTCTAATTTATTCAGCTTAATAAATGATAGTCAGTGTTCAGTGTTTCTACAAGGAAATAAAATAGGAATAAGCTATAAGTATATTATTATAAAGCTGTTGTGACAATTAAATAAGATAAAGTATATAAAGAGATTAGGGCTGGGCACAGTGGCTCACGCTTATAAACTTAGCACTTTGGGAGGCCCAGGCAGGAGGATCACTGAGGTTAGGAGTTCAAGACCAGCCTGGCCAACAAGGTGAAACTCCATCTCTACTAAAAATATAAAAATGAGCTGGGCATGGTGGTGCACACCTGTAATTCCAGCTACTTGGGAGGCTGAGGTAGGAGAATCGCTTGAACCCTGGAGGAGGAGGTAGTGGTGAGCCGAGATTAGGCCACTGCACTCCAGCATGGGCGACAGAGTGAGACTCTGCCTCAAAAAAAAATGAAAAAAAAAAAAAAGAGATTAGCATTCAGTGTTTCAGTGTTAGTGATTTCTATCATGATAATGCCATTATTTACGTTATATGTAACCCAACGGTTTTCAATTTTGTGTTTCCTGAGGCCCTAGGAATCCTGTAAAATTGACATGATAGGTAAAGGGCTTCAGATCCTCCTCCTTCCCTTTTCAGCCAAAGTGCTGAATCTCACTGATATGCTGAAAGCCTTTAAGCAAATCCTTCACTCATTTTACATAACAGGTTTAAGTGTAAGATTTTCACTAGAAAAAGGGGTTCTGGGACTAGTAAAAGTTTGAAAACTATGTTTAAAATACAAGCTCCAGGCCAGGTGCAGTGGCTCACACCTGTAATCCCAGCACTTTGGGAGGCCAAGATGGGCAGATCACAAGGTCAGTAGTTCAGGACCAGCCTGGCCGATATGGTGAAACCCCGTTTCTACTAAAAATACAAAAATTAGCCAGGCATGGTAGTGGGCACCTATAGTCCCAGCTACTTGGGAGGCTGAGGCAGGAGAATTGCTTGAACACAGGAGACAGAGTTTGCCGTGAGCCAAGATCACACCATTGCACTCCAGCCTGGGTGACAGAGTGAGACTGTCTCAAAAAATACAAGCTCCTCTCTGTTGTAAGAATTCATACTCCGTTAATGACAAAAGCCTCACTTATTAGTCACTTTCCTCATAAGGGTCAATGGTACAATTTTATTCACTCATTAAAGTACTCTTTTTCTCTAACTCCAGATTCTGCCTCAAATTCCTTTCTAATGTGCTATTTCTAGAAGAAAGCAACTTGCTCTATAATATCCTTCCTAAATATTAGGCACTTGCAATTTACTTAACTAAAACTGTATGTTAAATACATTAACAAGAAGTTGAAAACAGTTTAAGAAATTACATTAAAGGGATGTAAAGCTAGGTATGATTTTAAAAGTTATCCCTTTAATTGATAACTTCTGACAAAAAAAACTGTAGATGAACACCTAATAAAAAAGGAAAATAGGTAAATCATTTGGATGACATACTCTAGTCTTTTTAAAAATACCAACAAAGAGCAAACCAACTTTCAAGTTTCTAGTTATAGGAGAGGAGGACTGTTTATGCTCAGGAGGTTGAGGCTGCCACGAGCTTCGAACCTGCACTCCAGCCTAGGCGACAGTGCAAGACCCCATCTCAAAAAAAAAAACAAAAAAAAAAAAACCATTTCTAGCTATGTAAGATTCTAAAATAAAATAAAAATGATCTCATTAGAGAATAAAAACAAACAAAAACCCAAAAAAATCTATCTCATTAGCAGGTGATGTTGCACCTTAACAAAGACCATGAGTTAAAAGCCTACTCTGTCTTAAGACCATATCTATTAAAAATAGAACATTCTTGGCCAGGCACAATGGCTCATGCCTGTAATCCCAGCACTTTGGGAGGCTGAGGCAGGGGATCACGAGGTCAGGAGACTGAGCCATCCTGGCCAACATGGTAAGACCCTGTCTCCACTAAAAATACAAAAATTAGCTGGGTGTGGTGGCACACACCTGTAGTCCCAGCTACTCGGGAGGCTGAGACAGGAGAAATGCTTGAACCCAGGAGGCAGAGGCTGCAGTGAGCTGAGAGTGTGCCACTGCACTCCAGCCTGGGTGACAGAGTGAGACTCCGTCTCAAAAAAAAAAAAAAATTCTTAAGCTATTATGTCAAAACCAGAATGATTCCACAGGTGTTCCACATTTCAAACTTACATATTCTATTATGAATAAAAGAAAATACACTGAACATACTTTCTGCTTTTCAGGAACATCCTCAAGTGCTATTTTCCTCTTATTTTGAGTGCCATCTCCAGTAGAAGATTCATCTTTTGGAACATCCTCAGTTTCTCTTTTTCTTTTCTCTGAATTGTCTTCATCGTCACCAGAATCTTTTTTCTCTGGGACAATTTCGGAATCAAGTTTTCTCCTCTTGGATGGAGTGTCTTCCCCACAACTAGAACTTTCCTTTATAAAATCATCTTCAAACACTTTTCTCTTTCTTGCTGTGTCTACTTGCCCACAGACAGGAGTCTTTTCAGAAAGCCCAGTTCCAGAAGCTGTTGTGTTTTCATTAATACGGAACGAAGACTCTGTTTCAGAATTTGCTGATGCTTTAGCCTGTTCGAGAGACATCTTTTCATATTCCTCTGCTTTTGTAGAATTTGCCATTTATGATTACTTGAAATGATGGTGAAACTTCATGAACCAAAACTGGAATGGCAAAAAAAAAAAAAAAAATTATACTACTTGTAAACACTAATGCTAAGACTTTAAAACAATTTTAAGTAGAATTTGACTAACTAGGAGTCTTTAAAAAATCTCATTGTAGAGAGAATATTTAAAAATGCTAATTGATATTATGTATGAATTTCTGAATATGGTAGTACTAATTATAATCCCTCCAAAGTTTTACAATCTTATTCATAAAAGTCACCGTTGGCATTAAAGCTGACAAATGAAGTGGAGATACATACACATGCACTAGTTCCCTTTCTGTTCTGATTCTCACCCTACAACCTTGGTTACCAAACTGTATGGTTGGCACCATAACAAACAGGCACCAAAGGACCTAACATGTGGAAGATAATCACAGAAACTATCAGGTTTAAGTACAGCACAGTTCCAACGACAGAGACTGTACATAGATTGTACTAGATACCTTTCAGTGACTTTGTGAAGCTCAGATTTTGGTATCACAGAAATTCAAGGTGAAACAGGAAATGAGGTTAGTGGTGCCTAATCTGATTTCAAGGCTTGAAGCTGTACAGTACCCAATAGGTTCACATATCCTGTTAGCAAGGAATTGTGACTAATCAAGAATAAAACACAAACATTACCTTCTCCCCCAATTTATGTGTATTAAGTTTTTAACAGACAGAAAATTGTTAGAACATAAATACTTTTAAATTCTTTGGGGGTGAAGTACTTAATAAATGGAACTGTTATATTTATTTTGGCCTATGGACACTAAAAGCATCAAGAACAGAAAAAGTTTGGGACTCTACAGCAAGAACTTCTGAAATCATATTTCATAATGGGTGTCCCAATTAGGTTGAAAGTGGAGAGAAGAAATGGCTTTAGAAAAGTTTCAGGACTCAGCAAGCAGTTTGATGACCACTAAGTCTCTTTCAAATATGTTTTTGTACCTACATAAGATGGGAAAGAGAGAAATAACTGAACTATCTATTGGGCAAGAATCATGGTGGTTCATTTATTAAGCCATTCAACAAATTTACTGACCTTCTACTACAGAGAAGCTCAATGTAAATTATAGTTTCAAGATGTTTAGAGCATATATACCACTATTAAAATGTTAAACTTTTGGCCAGGTGAGTTGGCTCACACCTGTAATCCCAACACTTTGGGAGGCCGAGGTGGGCGGATCATGAGGTCAGGAGCTCAAGACCAGCCTGGCCAACACAGTGAAACCCCATCTCTACTAAAAAATTAGCCAGGCATGATGGTGGGCACCTGTAATCCCAGCTACTCGGGAGACTGAGGCAGGAAAATCACTTGAATCTGGGAGGCGGAGGTTGCAGTGAGCACAGATTGGGCGACAGTGGGAGACTCTGTCTTTAAAAAAAAAAAAAAAAAAAAAAAAAGTTAAGCTTTTGCAGGGCACAGTGGCACACACTTGTAATCCCATCACTTTTGGGGGCCAAGGTAGGCAGACTGCTTGGCCTCTGGAGTTCAAGACCAGCCTGGGTAACATGGCAAAACCCCATCTCTACAAAAAATAGCTGGGCCTGGTAGAACACGCCTTAGTCCCAGTTACTCAGGAAGCTGAAGGAGGAGGATCGCTTGAGCCCAGAAAGTCTGGGCTGTCGTGAGCCGTGATTGTGCCACTGCACTCCAGCCTAGGCAACAAAGCTTAAAAACAACAACAACAACAAAAGCTTTGTCATGAAAGAAGTATTTGTGCTTTAAAAAAAAAAAAGCCTTTTGAATAAAGAAAAAGAAAAAGAAAGCAAGTTGCTTAAAGGAACGGGTAACAGGTCACTATGAACGGGTAAGGGTTTCAAGGGTTACGAGCTTTCACTACCCACCATTTGAGGTAACAAAATCCAAGAGGTGCCAAATAGAACTGAATCAGAGAACAACAAAAACAAATCAGAAAAGTAATTTTCAGAATAACTACTTAAAAACATTATCTAGAAAAACCAGCTACTGCCTTATCAAATTTCTATTTCTCCTCCTCTGCCATTGATTTCCTAATGCAAATTGGCTTTAAATTCAATTAAAGCAATGTGATTTACCTTTAGTTATCATTATTAACTAAAATTAGTAGAGATTTAAGCATGAATTTCACTTATCTCATCTACTTTTATGAAACCACAGATGTGACATAAAAACATAATTATATCAGAAGAAATCAATGACACAGAATTCCAGATGACCACAAAAATGAATACCAATGTTTAAAACCAAGCATCATGTTTATAGCCAATCCGTTTCATCAAAGGTGCCAAGAACGTACATGGGGAAAAGACAGTCTCTTCAAAAAATGGTGCTGGAAAATCTAGACCAGTATCTCTCACCATATGAAAAAAATCAAATCAAAATGAATTAAAAACTTAAATTTAATGCCCGAAACTATGAAACTACTTGAAAAATAGTGTGGAAATGCTTCAGGACACTGGTCTGGGCAAAGATTTTTGTGGTAAGACCTCAAAAGCACAGGCAACAAAAGCAAAAATTGAAAATGGGATTATATCAAGCTAAAAACTTCTGCACAGTGAAGGAAGCAACAGAGTGAAGAGAAAATCTACAGAATGGGAGAAAATATCTGCAAAACCATTCATCTGATAGTGGATTCACAACCAGAATATAGAAGAAACTCAACTCAATAGCAAAAAAAAAAGGAACAATCCTACTACAAATGGGAAAAAGATCTGAATGGACATTTCTTAAAAGACACACAGGCTGGGCATGGTGGCTCATGCCTGTAAATCCCAGCACTTTGGGAGGCTGAGGCAGGTGGATCACACGGTCAGGAGTTTGAGACCAACCTGACCAACATGGTGAGACCTCGTCTCTACTAAAAATACAAAAGCTAGCCAGGCGTGGTGGCACATGCCTGTAATCTCAGATACTCAGGAGGCTGAGGAAGGAGAATCGCCTGAAACCGGGAGGCAGAGGTTGCAGTGAGTGGAGATCACACCACTGCACTCCAGCCTGGTAAACAGACTGAAACTCTATCTCAAAAAAAAAAAAAAAAAGCCAACAGGTATATATATATATATATAATGCTCACAAGCACTAATACCAGGGAAATACAAGTCGAAACCACAATGTGATACCATCTAATCTCAGTTAAAATGACTTTTATCAGAAAGATTTTATAAAAATGGATGCTGAGAGGCCGGGCGCGGTGGCTCAAGCCTGTAATCCCAGCACTTTGGGAGGCCGAGGCGGGTGGATCACGAGGTCGAGAGATCGAGACCATCCTGGTCAACGTGGCGAAATCCCGTCTCTACTAAAAATACAAAAAATTAGCTGGGCATGGTGGCGCGTGCCTGTAGTCCCAGCTACTCAGGAGGCTGAGGCAGGAGAATTGCTTGAACCCAGGAGGCGGAGGTTGCAGTTGCGGTGAGCCGAGATCGTGCCATTAAAAAAAAAAAAAAAAAAAAAAAAAAAAAAAAAAAAAAAATGGATGCTGAGGCAGGCACGATGTCTCATGCCTATAATACCAGCAATTAGGGAAGGCTGAGATGGGCAGACCACTTAAGGTCAGGAGTTTGAGAACAGCCTGGCCAACCTGGTGAAACCCCATCTCTACAAAAAATACAAAAATTAGCTGTGCGTCATGGTCTGTGCTTGTAATCCCAGCAATTTAGGGGGCTGAGGCATGAGAATAGCTTGAATCTGGGAGGTGGAGTTTGTAGTGAGCCCAGATCGAGCCACTGCACTCCAGCCTGGGTAACAGAGAGAGACTCTGTCCCAAAAAAATTAAATTAAATTAAATTACATTAAAAAAAAAAAAAGGATGCTGGTGAGGATGCAGAAAAGTTGCAGTGTTAGAGGTAATGTAAATTAGCACAACCATTAATTTACACACTGGAAAAGGTATGGAGGTTCTTCAAAAAACTACAAATAGAACTACTGTTATTTAGATGAGTTTCTTCTATATTCTGGTTTTTAATCCCCTGTGAGATGAATAGTTTCGCAAATTTGGGTACAGATCCAAAAGAAGGGAAATCAGTATATCTAAGAAACATCTGCAGTCTCAAGTTTATTCACAGCAGTCAAGATATGGAATCAACCTAAGTGTCCATCAACAAATGAATAAAGAAAATGTGGCATATATACACAATGGAATATTAATCGGTCTTTTAATTATTTTACAATCTCAAAGTAAAATAATTAAAATACTCCAAAGGGACGAGAGCTATCCCTCAGAATCCTCGAGGAGAAACCTTCGAGAGGTGGTCGACTGACATCGGGATGGATATGCGATAAATAACCACATGGACATTTCGACTTGCCACAGTCACACCTCCGAAGCAAGCTAAGTCCCTGCATCATTTCAGTTCCTCAGGGTACGACACAGCAGGCCGCCAGGATAAACCCCAAGCAGGATAAGCCCTAAGCCCCGGCCCGAGAAGGGCGCAGAAGCGAGAAAGGACTTCTCCAGCCAAGTTCACCGCCTCCGTCATTCGCGCGGCCTCTTACTCAACCTCTAGCTAATGTTTCCGAAGCGCAGCTCCAGACAAACCTGTGGACCCCCCACCTTCCCGAGCACAGCCCTGGGGCACGCGCTGGAGCTGCTCTTCAGACTTCTTCTCCCACCCCGGGCTCGCTCGGTCTGGAGTATCAACAGCGCCCGACCACCCCTAAGAGTTCCCGTTTTGCTTTGCACTGAAGGGACAAGGAGATAGACCCACGTGGCAGGTACTAAAGCACAGGTCTAATGCGAAGTGCCGCATGTCAGGAGCGGGAGTGCCGCTTCCTCCTCCTCCACGGCGGCCGAGGGGTAAACACAAAGAAATGAAGGGCCGGCGTTCCAGCCACACTCACCAGCACAGCCAAACGCAATTCTGTTTGCGGAAACGGCGGCCCGCGCCACGCGTGTCTTGTTACGTCACTTCCGGGAGTGCGACCATCACATGGCGCCTCTCTGGCTAGAGTGCCGCGGCGCACGTTCTCCGCGCCGGAACTACGAGTCCCGACGTGCTGCGCGCGGCAGGCAGAAGCTGCGCTGAGCGGGCGCGGGCGGCCGCGAGCACGTTGCTAGTGGGCGCGGTGGCGGGGCCGGAGGTGGTAGGGGGCAAGAGTCCGCCCGAGCCCCGCGGGTTCCGGCGCCCGGACCCACGCTCGGCCGGGTTGCTCTGCTGAGTGACACCACCGTGGCATCCAAGGAGCTTTCCCTCCAGCTTGCGCGGCGGGAAGCAGCGGCGGTGGCGGCCTCAGCGTCCTAAGAGGTAGCATGGGCCCCAGACCTCTGTGGGACAGCGGGAGAGGTCTAGAGGGCACCTTCAACCCTGGGCGTGTGTCGGAGAGCTGACTCGCGGCGCTAACCTGGCAATTGCTCCGCGCGCGCGGCTCCTCGAGCTGTGGCGGTGTCCGCCCGCCAGACTGGGGTGGTCCTCAATGCCGACCCCACCGCCCCCGGCGGCCTAGAGAGGTCACTCCAGCCCTTCCGGGTCGAGCTTGTGTCCTGGCTAATCTTGTTTTGGGGACTGGTTTTCAGCCTTCTCCGCTGTAACCCTTTACCGTCTTCTCTTCCTTTCCTCTGAAGCCAGTTGAAGAGGGGCCTGAAGTGCACGCGGTCGGAGTGGTTTTAAAAATTAGTCTTTTCCTACTTACTAGGGACTGGTACATCTGTCCTTACCGCCGTGTTTGGGAAGCCACAAGAGACCATTCCGATCTGTTAGATTTTGAGAAAAGGGGCAACCTATACCTGTTTTTGAAAAATACATAACGGTGCATTAACTCTGCATGGGCTGAACTTTGGCAGAGTGTGGTTTGGGGGAGACAACAGACTTTTTTTGGCCATCACACCAGATTTCTACTGGGGAGTGAAAGTGCCTACTGTACTGAAACTTGAAAGCTTCATAGTTGAGGACTTTCAACCTGAGATTAGGGCCAAAACTACCTGTGGATAGATGATTGATGCGTGTACTTATTAATGTCGTGTGTCAACACGTCCCCACCCTAAGGGTGTAAAACTGATCAGATTTACGATCCATCTTGAATTACTCCTTACTAAAATTGATTCCTTTAAAACAGCTTTGAAAATACGCTTTACCAGCCTGCCTTCTTGTCAGTAGACACAGGTATATTAATGAATAGACCTGGTTTGGGGAAAGGCAGCATTTCCAGCATGTACTATCCAATCTGGTCACTTGTAAATTGTGGGCATTAGCCCATGTGAGGTTGTTGACCCCTTACAAACTTTGAACCAAGAATGAGGCCCAGTTTTCACAAATAAGGATGAGCCATCAATTTCAGATGACTGCTTGCATTTGTTATTATATGAAATGAGCTAGGTTGAGAGTTAATCTCATTTCATGAATATTGACAACTGCAAAGGAGTAGGTATTAGGGATCGAATCCATTGTACGCATATTCAAGCATTAGAACCAGGCAATTACTTTTGCTGGTTCTGATGGTTACGTTTCTTGAGGTAATTGCTGTTGTAGTTTTACAGAAAATGAGTGTAATTTTGACTTTTAAAAACATGTTGTCATTAGATTAAAAGCCTCTTAACTATGTGTTTATGAAAACTCCATGTGATTGTGCATGTGATATATAGATATTATATTTTTCAGTTTTTATAGAACTTAGCTAGAAGTCATGTAAATTCTGTTGAGAATAGAGGAAAGGTTTCTTGAAAGCAGTTAATCTAAGAAGTAAATGAACCAGATAAAAATGATTTAAAAGTTACCATTGATGTTATTTTCCCCCCATTATTACCTGTGTAATCTCTGGTTTTCTGGACATTAACATAATAATAGCTAATACTTTAGTAACTTCTCTGTGTTCTGTGTGTGTGTCAAGCTTAGTACTTCATTCATTTGTACTCGTTTAATTCTTTCTTTCTTTCTTTCTTTCTTTCTTTCTTTCTTTCTTTCTTTTTTTTGAGATGGAGTGTCGCTCTGTAGCCCAGGCTGGAGTGCAGTGGTGAGGTCTCAGCTCACTGCAAACTCCATCTCCTGGGCGTGTGTCAGCCCTGGGGTTGAAGCAATTCTCCTTCCTCAGTCTCCTGAGTGTCTGGGATTACAGGTGCACACCACCACGCCTGGCTAATTTTTGTATTTTTAGTAGAGACCAGGTTTCACCAGGTTGGTCAAGCTGGTCTCCTGACCTCCTGATCTGCCCACCTCCCAAAGTGCTGGGATTACAGGCATGAGCCACCCCTCGGGGCTTACTGCTTATGAGTGTTTTGTTTTACAGATGAGGGTTAAGTAACTTGGCCAAAATGATGCAGATTTTAAGTAGTGGAATCAGGATTTGGATTCAGGCAGTCTGGCTCATTGGCCAGACTCTGCTAATAATGCAACAGTGCCGGCTAGAAGGTCATACTCAGAACTGGAAATTGTCTAGCATATCCTAGATTTTCAGAAAGTATTTTGATACTTTTTAATGCCTGGGTTATTATGTCCAGAGATAAAATAGTCAGGTAAGGATGTTATCTTGCCAGAATGTGAGCTCCACCAACACAAGGAAAGAACATGCAGGATTTATTTCAACCCATTTGTAAGAAGTGAGAGCACATCTCTTAGAGGTATAATTTTAAAGTATGATTTCTGTTGTAGAGTTGAAGATAATACTTTTGAAACATGAAGATTGTTTCGAAAATGTAGATACAATGTTATAGTTTCCTAAGACAATGTAATGTGAAGGCAGGCAAGAGAGGTGGTTCATGGAAACTTTGTTTCTCTAAATAGTTTTGGAGGAAAGACTTAATCTGTTCCACTCAGGAGAGTATTCCTACTGAAATTTCATGTGTCTTTCTGGAGCAAATAAAATATTCTTGTTTAAAGGGTTGTTCTTTCAGTTGAAAATAAGATTTTGTTGAGAAATCCACAAGTGTGCTGTGTGTGATGATTAGTTTTATGTCAGTTTACCTAGTTATTTAAACAAATACTAATCTGCGTGATGCTGTGATGATATTCTGAAGATGTGGTTAACATCTATAATCAGTTGACCTGAACTAAAGAATATTACCCAAAATAATGTGGGTGGGCCTCATTTAATCAATTGAAGGCTGAAAGAGCCAAAACTGAGGTGTCCTGAAGAAGACAGTAGTTTCCTCAAGGCTACAGCATCAATTCCTGCCTGAGTTTACTGTATGTATATCTACCCTACACATTTCGAAGTTGCTAGCTTCTACAATTGTGTGAGCCAGTTCCTTAAAATACCAGTATCTCAATATCTGTCTACATGTAGATGTAGATATTTATGTTTTTATCTACATCTATGTTTTATTCCTATCAGTTCTGTATATCTGGAGAGCCCTGAGTGATTCAAATTTGGGTGCTGGGAGTGGTTCTAGTTAGCAGAATCTTAAGGATGAGTTTTCAGAATTGATTATAGTGTTTCTGGAGTTGATTTTCTAACCTGATAAGATTTAAAGGCAATAATGAGTATTCCCAGTAGAAAAGAGGACTCTGATAGTCCATGGTGTGATATGATAATGGAGATATGCAAAAGATCACTATTGGATACTCCCACTCCTGCTTATAGACAACAACAAGATTCAGAACAATCAGCTTTTTGGTACCTTAGAACATTTAAATCAACTTAATGAGTATAATCTTGGTTGGTTGCTCTTAATTGTGCTGGATGAAGTGAGAAAAGAAAAGGATGATCCCAGCTACTGGGGAGACTGAGGCAGGAGAATCACTTGAACCCAGGAGGTGGAGGTTGTAGTGAGCTGAGATCTCACCACTGCACTCACTCCAACCTGGATGACAGAGTGAAACCGTCTCAGAAAAAGAAAGAAAAGAAGGGTGGGCTTCAGGCTTCAGATTCCCAATTGAAGCTCCAAAAAAGTGAAAGTTTCTGTGTCTGCCCTAAAACCTATTATCTCCTGTAGTTGCAGAGCTGAGGTTGGTGAAAAGCAAACCCAGAGTCTCATCCTGTTAGGTGGCTGAATTACAGTGCAAACTGAATTCCCTTCCTCACTTTGGTCTGCTGTTAAAATGAGGGCATTGATTGGGAAAGAATGGGATCCTCAGATTCGGAATAGGGCCATATGGGAACATCCTGATGAAGCTGGGGATGTTGAACTCCTAAATTTTACTCACTCTTTTTTGCCAGTAGAAGCAATTCTTTCACCTTTGAGGAAGTTAACCCTGCTTTGCCTGGTGTAATGTAATGGCCTCCCTTGAGGTAGCTAGCTACCTTGCAAGACATTGCTGGTTCTCCTCAGGTGTCCATGAAGAGCTCTGGGGCTGCTCTTCTCTGCAAATCAGAGATTGCAGTGTGAGCTGCTGCCACTGACTGGGGTCCTTAACTGCAGCAGGGATGGTTGGATCCCAAATGGCAGGGACCATGTGATCACCAAAGACTAAATGGGCATGTTGCCATCATAGGGTACAGTGGAGTCAAAGCAACAGTCTGAACAGTCTTGACTCGAGAGTCCTATGGCATTGGGTAGGTAGTCATGGTGTCTGTAGAAGAGAATTCGATGGGCAGTCTACTGAATTCTGAATTGATCTGTATAAGCAGAAGAGTTCTAGATCAAGCGAATGGAAGCCTTACTTGAATTATCAAAAGAAAGAGTTAATGGTCCCTCAATCAGTTCCCAGATTTGAGTAATTTTACAGTCCTAGAACCCTTTGAATGAGGGGAGGCTGGACCCTTTTGAGGAAAGACCCCATTGTGCTGCCAAGAATTTATACTGTTAGTTTTTTCCCCTAACTTTTCCCAGAAGGACCTATGGTTTGTCAGGGTAAGTGTGCATTGGAGAAAAAGAAATAATCAGACTTCTCATGGATTACTGAACACTTAACTCTGAACTGACACTAATTCCAGGACACTCTAAAGTATCATTTTGGCCCACCATTCAGAGTAGGGGCTTGTTCAGGTTAGGTGGTCAATGGAAGTTTAACCCAGGTCCTCCTCACAGTGAGTCCCCATATTCATCTTGTGGTTACTTCCCCAGTTCCAGGATGAATAACTGGTATAGACATACTCAACAACTGGCAGAATCCCCACACTGGTTCCCCGACCTGTGGAGGAAAGGCCAAGTAGAAGCCACTAGAGCTGCGTCTTCCTGGAATAATAGTAAGCCAAAATCAATATTGCATTTCCAGAGGAATTGCAGAGATTAGTGCACTTAAGGATGCAGGGGTGGTGATTCTTGACATATTCCCATTCAACTCTGCCATTTGGCCTGTGCAGAAAACAGACTGATCTTGGAATATGACAGTGGATTATCATAAACTTAACTGAGTGGTGACTAATTGTAGCTGTTCCAGATGTCATTTCATTGCTTGAGAACCTATCCCCAGTAGCTGGCATGCAGTTACTGATCTGCTAAATGTTTTTCTTAGTAAGTATCTATTAGTAAAGATCACTAAAAGCACTTTTCTTTTCTTTTTTCTTTTCTTTTCTTTTCTTTTCTTTTCTTTTGAGACAGAGTGTCACTCTGTCACCTAGGCTGGAGTGCAGTGGCACGATCTCACTGCAACCTCTGCCTCTCGGGTTCAAGCGATTCTCCTGCTTCAGCCTCCTGAGTAACTGGGATTACAGGTGTACACCACTACACCAAGCTAATTTTTGTATTTTTAGTAGAGATGGTGTTTCACCGTGTTGGTCAGGCTGGTCTTAAACCCTTAGCCTCATGATCTGCCAGCCTCAGCCTCTCAAAGTGCTGAGATTACAGGCATGAGCCACTGCACCTGGTCAGGCAGTTTTCTTTCAACTAACAAAGCCAGAAATACACCTTCACTGTCCTACCTTGGGGATATCAACTCTCTAACTCTGTGTTGTAATTTAGATCACAGGGATCTTGTTATGAGTTGAATTATGTCTTCTAGAAACTAACATATTGGAATCCTAGCCCTCAGTATCTCAGGATATGACCTTATTTGGGAATACAATAGTTACAAATGTAATTAGATGAAGTCATACTGGAGTAGGCTGGGCCCCTAATCCAGCACGACTGGTGTTTTTAAAAAATGAGAAATTTGAACACAGATATTCAAACAGGGAGAATGCCATGTGAAATTGAAGTAGAGGAACACCAAGAAATGTCACACATTTCCAGCAAACCATCAGGAGCAAGCGGGGAGGAATGAAATTCTTCCTCACTACCCCTGAAGGAACCAACCTTGCTGACACCTTGATCTTGGACTTCTAATCCCAGAGCTGGAGACAGTACATTTTTTGTTGTGTAAGCTCTTCAGTTTGTGGTTCTCTATTACAGCAGCTGCAGCAAACAAATACAGACCCTGACCATCTTCCCTTCCACAGGACATCATACTGGCCCATCGCATTGATGACATTATGCTGATTGGATCTGGTGGGCAAGCAGGACCAACTACTCTAGACTTACTGGTAAGACATTTGCGTGTCAGAGAGTGGGAAATAATTCCAGCAAATATTCCAGGCCTTCCACCTCAGTGAAATGTCTAGGAGTCCACTGGTGTGGTGTAGGGCATGTTACCACCTACAACAAAAAGAGAGAAGCAAGATCTAGTGGTCCTCTTTAGATTTTGGAAGTGACAAATTACTCATTTGGGTGTGCTATTTCAGGTTGTTTACTGGGTGACTTGAAATGCTGGTAGTTTTGATTGGATCCCAGAACAAAAGGCAACTCTGCAACAGGTCCTGGCTGTTGTGCAAACTGCTCTACCACTCAGGCCATATGACTCAGCAGAGGTTATGGTGCTTAAAATGTTAGAGGCAGATTGAAATATGCTATATGAAACCTTTGGCAGGCCCTATAGGAGAAAATTATGTAGATCCTTAGGATTGAGGAGCAAAGCCTTTCCATCCTTTGCAGGTAACCGCTCTTGTATTAAGAAACAGCTTTTGGGATTGCTACTGGGCTTAGTAGAAACTGTACGCTTAACCATGGGCCACTAAGTCATGCAACTGACTAAAAAAATGACTAGAGTATTTCAGCAGCTAAGAGCACAAGCTGATGGCATGTGTTCAAATCCTGGTTATATTATATTTGCTAACTGTGTCATCCTTGAGTAAGTGACCAAACTGTGTGTTTTAATTTTCTCACGGAGTGATTTTGTAGAATAAATGAGATGATACAGTGCTTAGCACAGAACCTGCTCATTTTTAGCTTCTCTTAATACAACTGAAACTGCTACTGCAATGTCATGTGAAGTATTTAGGCCATGTCTTTAAGTGTGATTGTAGAATTTTTTTTGTCTTGGTACAGCAGAAAAAATAGAGTGATTTTTTTTTTAATTCATGTAAACCAGAGCAGAAGTTTGAAATAGTGAACAGTCTTGTAGGCATTATGTGCTTTCAAGTTCTGAGTTTATTACTTCTGAGAATTAACCATGGTAAGCAGTGGTCTACGACTTCTGTGGGTGAAAGGGTAGCTGGGCTTTAAGCATGTGCAGCAGTGGGCAAAGAATGGAGGTGAGGGAAGAAGCATCAGATATTAGGAAGGGGCCCTCCCAGAGAAAGGGGAAGTGGGTGGTTCAGATTTTGTGATGCCAATGGCAAGATGAGTCCTGTCGGAAAGTCTCATTGTTAACCAAAAATTATTTTCAAGGCACTTAAAAATTAGGGCTTCCCCATTTTCACCTACTTCTTCTACATTGCCTTTGTAACTTATTGGACTTGATAAATTGAATTAAACATAGTATTTTATTTGGAGTCCTTGATTTTTTTAACCTAAGCATGGGTTATAGTAACTCTTCCTTGCTATTCGAAATACTGAAATTCTTGTTATAGTTTGAGCTGCTAAGTAGGCTGCATTGTAATTTGAGTCGTTTGTTAAAATTAGAAAAAGAATTAGATAAACAGTGATGGGCTTGCAGTGTACTGTTTGCCAAATGAATGTCATCTATAATGTTAAGAAAAATTTTATTTGTATGGCACACTGTGTAAAATAAAGCAGACCTATTTCAAGTTCTAAATGCAAGTTTTTATTTTATTTTTCTTGCCGTATTCATCACTGTAAATGCAAGATTTTAAAAAGACATATTTTAAAATTGGACCCAGAATACAAGTGCTCTTTATTACAACATGGCTTCTGGTACTCTGATGATCAAATCACATTTTCTGAAATATATTTGATACAATAAACACTGACAAAACTAGGTAACCCTGCAGAGAAGATTATGAGTATTTTTCACTAAAGCCAAGGTGAAACAGATGCTATTGCAGTTTACTTGGTGTAAAATATATGTATAATTTCTCATATGTCCTTTTTTGGTTTAACAAACATAGGCATTATTTTCTTTATCAAGTAAATTCCTATTGCTGAGCATGTTTTAGTTAGTAACAATAAATTTGTGTTAAACCTGATTTTCAATGTAGGAGATAGAAATGAAATTTATAGTTTGGCTCTCAATCCTTTATTTTCAGGGAAAAGACAATTTATACACATGAGCAATTTGTGGAGATGTAGGAAATCCATTAGACTAGCAACTTGTGTGCGCGTGCACGCTCACGCTCTGTCTGTCTCTCTGTCTCTCTCTCTCTCTCCCCACCGCTCCTTTTTTCCCCCCAGTAATCCGGGAACAAGTTATAAACTATTACCTGTCCTTGCATTCCTTATCTGTAAACATAAAGGATGGTACTAAGGGGCCTCTCAGTTTTCTTCCAAGTCTTAATATTCTGTAGTTCTAATGCAGACAACTATGACTAAACCTAAGATTGCTCCTTTTATACAGTTGTACTCAGGGTCTGTATGGCCTGCCATTTTTGGAGTCCCTGTAACAAAGACTTTGAGAAGATGAAAATAATCCTGACTCATGCAATGGTTGGGAAAATTTCCAAAGGAGAGTAGGATTGTGTTTTCCATTGCTGTGTAACAGATCACCCCCAAATTTAGCAGCTTAACACAGGTTTATTATCTCAGTTTTTCTGGGTCAGGAATATGGGCACATCTTAGCTGGTTTGCTGCTTAGCATCTCTCAAAGTGTCAGTCAGGCTACATTCTCATCTGGAGGTTCAACTATGGAAGAATCTGTTTGCAAACTCATTCAGGTTGTAGGCAGAGTTCATCTTTTGGCCTACATGAGTGACGGTGCCATTTTCTCCTGTTGACTGGTGGCCTCCCTCAGGGACTAAAGGCTATTCCCTGTATGCGGCCCTGTCCATAGGCAGTTCATCATATGGCACTTTGTTTCCTTGAGGCCAGCAGGAGGGAGACTCTTTCTCCAGTCTGTTGAGATGGAGTCCTTTCTATCTTTTCTACCGTTTAGTGCTTAGAAGTAAGTGACAGGTTCCACCCACACTCAAGGGGAGAAGATTCTACAAGGATGTAGCTCACTAGGGTTCACCTTGGGGTGTGTCCCAGAAGACTATTTCTGTATTGACATTGTGGCATGCCTATACATTATTGTGCTTATTTAGCAAAGAAATCTGTGACATTACTTTTTTTTCTCCCTCTTATCAAAATTAAGGTGCTTTCTGATTGCCTAGATTTCAACTAAATGCAAGTTTAATTTTTATTTGCTTTGGGATTTTTGGTTTCAAGCTTTAACAGGAAAAGAAGTCTCCTTTGAAACCTCCTTCTGCTCTTTTGAGCACCCAGAATGGAGGAAGAGTGCTGATCTGACAAGCCAGGCTCCAGGACAGTAATAGTCATGTGTGGCTCAACAATGGGGATGCATTCTAAGAAATGTATCATTAGGCAGTGTTGTCATTGTTTGAACATCACAGAGTGTATTTACACAAACCTAGATAATAGAGCCTCCTCCTACACACCTAGGCTATATGGTATAGCCTGTTGTCCCAGGCTACAAACGTGTATGGCATGTAATTGTACTGAATAGTGTAGCAGTTGTAGCACAGTGGTAAGTACTTGTGTATCTAAACATACAAAAGGTATAGAAAAAATATGATATTATAATCTTATGGGACTATCACCATATATGCTGTGTGTCATTGATGGAAATGTCATTATGGGGCACATGACTATATATGGTTTTGTTTTCCAGTGACTGGAGTCTTGGAAATATACATAAGCCTTTCATGGGAATAAAACTTCCTTTACTTCCTTTTCTCTTGGTTCTGATGAGTGGTTTTCTTCCCATTGGAGTGACACGGTGGGATTCTAATTGGGTGTTGGGTTGGGAATGAAAGAGTGGAGTAAGGGCTGGAAAGATCTCATTATTGTCTGGCTTAGTTTACTACAGTTGTGCATTGACACAGACACATTGTATGTGATTGAGAAATATTAGTTTTTATAAGAAGAAGGCATTAGACCTTTGAAAAGAGATAAGGTTTACAATAAGACAGTTGGAAGTAAATGGAGTAGGGAAGTTAGTAGGTATGAGTTTAAGTTGAGATCAGTCAGCATGGTCTATTTTCTTATCCAGCTTACACACAGGTGTCAGACTGGATTTGATACAATTAGGGTTCAGCCAAACCAATGTGATAAAGACAGAGCAGCCCAGATTTGGGGGTATATGCAGAGAGTACTTATGAGTGATAGACTTACTTCTGTTGACTCAATGTTTGTGCCTCCCAAAATTCCTGTTTTGAAGCCCTAATCCCCAGTGTGATGGTATTAGGATGTGGAGCCTTTGGAGGGTAATTAGGTGATATGGGGTTAGGTTTTGTGTCCCCAGCCAAATCTCATCTTGAATTATGATCCCCATGTGTCAAGGGAGAGACCAGGTGGAGGTAATTGAATTATGGGGGCAGTTTCTCCTGTGCTGATCTCGTGGTAGTGAGTTCTCATAAGCTCTGATGTTTTATAAGGATCTCTTTCTCCTTTCACTCAGCACTTCTTGCTACCTTGTGAAGAAGGTGCCTTGCTTTCCCTTTGCCTTCTGCCATGATTGAAGTTTTCTGAGGCCTCTGCTAGCCATGTTGAACTGTGAGTCAATTAAACTCTTAAATCAGCTTTGTCCTAACACAGGCTGGTGGCTCCCTGTGTTACACTGCTATAAAAATACTACCTGAGAGAGGGTAATTTATAAACAAAAGGGATGTAATGAGGCACAGTTTGGCATGGCTAGAGAGGCCTCAGAAAACTTACAATCATGGTGGAAGGCAAAGGGGAAGCAGGCACCTTCTTCATAAGGCAGCAGAAGGCGGGGAGAGGGAACAGGGGAAACTGCCGTTTTAAAAACCATCAGATCTTGTTGAGAACTCCCTGTCACAAGATCAGCAAGAGGGAAACTGCCCCCCTTGATCCAGTTGCTCTCACCAGGTCCCTTGCTCAATATGTGGGGATTACAATTTGCAATGAGATTTGAGTGGGGACACAGAGCCAAATCATGTCACTTCATTCAAGGTTACAGAATGGCTGCTAGAACCCCCAGAATCCGTATGTTGTGTTCCTTTCTCACCCCCAGTTTAGGAGAGAGAATTAGGTCCCCAAACCATGAAATATAAGTTCTCCTCAAAAT